GCCGCCGTTGTCGACGTCATCATGATAATCGCGACCCGCACTGCAGCTCCCGCGCGCCAGTGCGGCCGTCGGGAGGCGCTGTCGAATCTCACAGCAGTAAGCGTCATCGCGGCCGCAATAGTTTTGCCAAACCAGCGGGGCCGCTCTGCGCGCGAACTTGCGCGCGCCAGCGCCCCCGCAGAGATGCGCCAGCAAGTGCCAAACAGTCATCGCCACCGCGGCCGCATGGGTTTTGCAAAGCATGTTGCAGGTGGGAGGGCTGGATGTGTGCGCGAGCGGTGGGGCTGACGACTCAGTCGTGGTGTCAGTTAGCTGCACCACACAGGTTACACCACATAGTTTGCACCGCGCAGTTTGCGCATCCACGGTGCAAGAACTTCCTGTTTGGGGTCCACGCTGGCTAACATGTGTCTCTCTCTAGCTTCATGCGCGCTTACCTGCGTGGCATGCCCCCTGTCCCCCCCTACGCCACTTTTCCAAGCAGCGCTGGGCCGAGAAGGCGGGCAAGCTCGTCCCGATGTGCGTGGAAATCCAGATTTCTTTTCGGGCCTCGCCACGCCCCGCCCCTCCCCTGTCCGTGCAAGCAAAATTGCCAGGATGCTCTCCCGCCATCCCCGAACGCGCACGCGACTTTTACACATCGCGACCGCAGGTTATTGGCAGTGGGCCTCGAGCAACTGTTCGAGTTGACTTGCCGGCCCTGTGGAAAGGGATGCTGTTCGGGGGGTGGCCGTGTATGGACACGAAGCCACATACAGCGCATGTCTGGGTCGTGGGCGCCCGTGCCAGGGCAGGGTCCATGTCGATACGACCCATCCGATTCGATATCGGCCTGGTCGGTCAGACCCGGTTGCATTGCGATACTCCGACGACCCGATGCAACCCGGTGCTTGCATGCCGTTGTTGCGTATCCTGGCCTGGCCGATGCGATTCGATGCGAGTATCGGGCCGATGCGGCCCGATCCGACCCCGTTTCGGCTCGGTCGGATTCCCCGACTCGACGGCGACTTCACCGGAAGGGTGGCCGGGGAGAGGCGTGCCCCGACGTGCCGCAGCAGGGGCACACACATGCTCCAGCCGCCATAGGGGCTGGCGTCCACCGGTCAATATCGCTGTCCGTCCGCCAGCGAGGCCGCCCCAGCACGTGACTCGCTTGAGGACCCGGGGGGGGGCCAGCTGCCCAATCACGCGAGGTTCGGCGACACGGAGCGCGTGGCTACACCAGGGTGTGGTCTGCGATCGGCGCCGTTGTGGTTTGGGGGAGCACCTCGCGGCCCTCGTGGGACATCCTCGGGGCGCGGCAGAGATCTCTGTCGAGGTCCTCGCCCGCCCCCCAGGGCGCGGATTGCAGTCCACACCCTTTGCAAACCACACTCTTCGGAGTCGCCGATCGGCCGAGGAACAGAAGGTATGCAGGAGGGGAGGAAACACACAGACACAACTAATCGTCGACTCGCAGGAAAATATGGGAAAATATGGGAAGTGGGGGTGAAGAGAAAAATCCAGGAAAATATGGGGAATCCTGTTATTCGTGTGTATTTATTTGAGTGTTTGTGTGCCCCTTCAGAGTCGCCGATCGGCCGAGGAACATAAGGTACAAAAAACATCACCTGGGATCTGCGCCGGCACCCCCTGGGATCTGCGCGGATTTTTGGGATCTGCGCCGGCCCCCCCTGGCGGCGCCTCCTTGCGCGACTATTGGCACGTCGGGCCTGTCCCTCTACAGGAGGGATATTCAGAAATATTCAAAGAATAGTCTGGGAACGATTTTGTGTCCATTTCTGAATATTTTAGTGCATTGTTGGACTATTTTCTATTTTTTGTCCAAAATCCCCCAGTTGGGGGACAGGCCCGACTTAAAACTATTGGCGCGCTCCGCGCGCCAGGGATTCGGGGGCTCAGCGCCGATTGCAAAAAGCCGCCCAGACCATCGAACGCTTAAGTTTTCTATTTCTACCATTGTAGATGACCACCACCTCCACCGGGATACGAAGATATCGGGAGACATCGCGCGATTCGTTTTTGTGCTGCTGGGCTCTGGCATGGATCCCGAGCTCGCTTATTATATCTGTGATCGCATTCACAGGAGGCGGCAGTACTCCACCGCCTCAGGCATGGTGTACAGGCCTTCCTCCTGGTCCAGGCCAGGAGCTGTGTATAGTATACACCATCCCAGAGAGTCCAGGATAACACTGACCTGGGTTGGTGGTGGTGGTGGTGGTGCTGTTTCGCTGCATCTCCAGTGGATCGGCGATGCGGACCGATCCTGAGCCCGATGTGGTCCATCCCGATGCTGCCGAGGCATCCTCGATGCCTCGGTGAAGCGGCGCGCTCCTCTGACCCCAGCTGCTCCAGCCGTGTTTGCTTCTGGGCGCTCTCAGGCGGGGCGGGGACCATTTTGGAGCGCTCTCTGAGCGCTCTGGGACGCTCTGGGACGAACGCGGCGCCCGACACATCGTTCAGCTCCGCTTAAGTCGGGTATGTCCCTCTACAGGGGGAATCTTCCGAAATAGTCTTTATTATTTTTGACAAATTGGGAATGTGTTTATACTATGCTATGTTTTCCGTCCAAAATCCCCCTGTTGGAGGACACGCCCGACCTACAGCTCGGCCTGGATTTACAGATCCCCGATCTATCCAGATCCGGTTTTGTCCTCATCCTGGCTTCCTCTTACTCGGGAACAATTCGAGGTGAGCCTGAGTGTGGTCAGATGCTCGGCCAATGTCGTGGACGGCAAGCATATCCGTATCCGCGGCCTCGCTGGCCCCGCTGGGCCGCTCCCCTTGGCCGTGACCCCACGAATACGGAGCGTTTTTGCCGACGACCCCCGCAGAGCGTACGCGTGAGACTGCGTATTCAGGGGATCGCGACCCAGGATCCAGACCGCTCGTGATTCAGATATACGGATCGGGGAGCAAATTATGATATACATAAATTTTCGGAGGTCCGCGTTTTGTTGGATCTTCGCTGGACCTCCCTCCCTGGCACCCAGAGCACGCCAAGGGCGGCGCCGCAGGCTCCGCCGGGGAGCTTCAACGCCGATCCGAGAACACCGCGCGGACCTCCGAACGTGCATTTTCTGTGGCAAGATTAATATCCACATCCAGTGCGTCGTGGACTCTCTTGGAAGGGGTGCAGCAGTGCCGAGGCGCACTGGATGTGGACAAAAATCTGGCCTCTGGGGGCTAGATGTTTATCCATTTCCAGTACGCCTCCGGTTTTTCGGGAAGAGAGCCCCAAGCTCCAAGACGCACCGGATGTGGATATCACTATTGCCCGCCTTGTCTCCCGAAGGGATTCGGAGGTGGACAGACCCGACCTCCTACCCCGACACGTCGATTCAGGAATGGGCCGTTTCCGGTTCGCGAGAGGGCGTCGCGGCCGGCCTTTTTGCGGGCCCAGGTCCGTCGGCTTCGGCCCTGGGTCGTCTTCACTAGGGGGAGACTTGCTAAAGGGTCGGAGGGAGGAGAAGCGATACCAACACCACCAGGGGGCCCACCTCCAGAGAGGAGGTCCACGATGCCTCCCCGAGCTGGATGCTGGGGATGTCTCGAGCGAGAGGGGGGGACCACACCACCAGGGAGACTCCCCTTGCCTCCTCGCACCTCCTCGCCGGGCTGGTGTTGGTGTCGCCTTTCCTTGCCCCCAAAGGGGAGGCTTGCCCACCGCCGAGGGCTGCGCCCCGAGGGTGGGCTGCTGCCGGGCCCCCGGCCACGGCGCGAGCGGTATAAGAGCGGTCTCCCGAGAGGAGGCGGCGGCCCAGGCGCCGGGCGTGGAGCCCCCGTTTCGCGGGGCGCTCCTCGAGGGCTTCCGCGGGTGCGAGCGCTTCTGCACGTGGCACCTTCGGGGGCCTCGTCCGCGGGCATCGGGGCTGGACAGAACCCCCAACAGTGACACGTCGATTAGTGAATTGTCCGTTTTCGGTTCTCGAGAGGGCGCCGTGGCCGTCATTTTCCAGGTTTGCGCCCGCCAGGTTTGGGCCTCAGGTCGTTTTCACTAAACCACGTTGTGCTAAAGGGGGGTCTGTCCATCTCCGAGGGTAGTACTATACTCAGAGCCCCGAATCATCCGGGGTAGCTCGGGTCAGGGATAAAACTCGGGTTCCTCTTTTTCGGGAATCCAAGCCCGAGTTACCCCGGGCCCGAGTTGCCCCGGATAACTCGGGCATCCAGAGCCCCGAATCATCCGGGGTAACTCGGGTCAGGGATAACTCGGGTTCCTTTTTTTCGGGAATCCAGACCCGAGTTACCCCGGACCCGAGTTACCCCAGATAACTCGGGCATCCAGAGCCCCGAATCATCCGGGGTAAGTCGGGTCAGGGATAACTCGGGCTCCTTTTTCGGGAATCCAAACCCGAGTTACCCCGGACCCGAGTTACCCCGGACAACTCGGGCGCCCAATATACACATGTCCAGGGCGTCGTGGGCTGAAGAAGGAACCCTTTTCGTCGGGGAGGGGCTCGGTGCTCCTGAATCGTTTCGCAGCTTGCCCTGGATGTCCCGTCTTTTTTCGATACGAGATCGAAGTTTAACTTATGGGACATAGGGGCCTCGTTCCTTATTTAGGGTTCCGTCCGCGCGGTTTCGCTCGATCCTGCATGCCAAACGTGATGGGCCTCTTCCCTCGGGTCCGCTCCCAAAGGCTTGTCTACGGCGGCATCCTGGGTCCTCGGGCCCGCCCGCCCCTCGCCCCGGACGCCCTGGCCATGTCGTCTACGCAGGTCCGCGGGGGGCACGCAGTGGTGGTGCGCTCGGGCACACGTGGGGTTGCCCCAGGCGAACAGGTTAGGGCATCGGCCGCCCCCCCCCCCCGCCCCCCGCGGATAACCCAGGGCATCGCCGAATCATGAAGATTGTTTCAGATTGGTGGCAGTTCTTGTGCCCGACGCGAGCTCGACGCGGACTCGACGCGGATTTGGCGTGGATTCGGCGCGGTGTCGGCGTGGGTTCGACGCGGATTCGACGAGTCCAGCATGGTTTCGACACGGATAGGGGCGCCACAGGATTTGGCGCGGATTCGTTTCTGAATTGGCGTGGACTCGACGCGGAGAGGGGCGCGACGGGACAGGCAAGGTTCTCCCGAATATGCAACGTAGCGCTTCTTCCAGCCCGTGGCCCACGGCGGCGACCGGCAGAAGGTCGTGTCGGCTTTGGCGCAGCTGAGGCAGGCCCACGAGCAATCCTGGGCGTGCAACGTGTATCTCGGAGGAGGAAAGAGTACCGATATTGCTACCCTCCCATCGTTTTCGCCGTTTTGGGCCTCCTGGTCGGCCCCTGTCGCCAGCGCTGGATTTGCCTCGGCATTCTGGTCAGAACGCACCCTGGGAGAGGTCCTGGAAGTAGCGTCATGGGTACCGCTTGGTTTCCCCAGTATTGGAAAAATCAGGACGGCTGTTGTTCTCGAAGAAGAGCAAACTGTCCCGCACGGATTTCTCGGATAGGCGCTGGGCCCCCTGGCGGCGCCTCTGGCGCCGCCCCTAGCGCGTTCCGCGCGCGAGAGAGGGGGGGTCCGATGCAGATCCGAGAAATCCGCGCGGACCTCCGAACGTTTCTGTTTATGTGATGCCATGCTCGGCGGCACGCCAACAGCATCAGGGCGAAGGTGGTTCGTAGTTCCGGCGGCCGGGGGCCCCCAGGCGGGGCCCCGAAACCCTCTAGAAACGACTCTGGACCCGACCTCGGGTCCAGACATCGGGGTCCACGTCATGAGCACGATCAAGACATCGGAGGTCTGGGAACGTGTCCTGGTGGGGGGCAGCGGCCGAGGTTTTTTTGTTGTTTCCCGTCGGACACCGTCGGACCCTGCCCCGCAGAAGGCCCCCCTGGATCGAGGGCCCGCTTCTTTTCGAGCCCGCCCTGCTCGTGGCAATTGAGGCTCGCCGTGCATCACCACCCACCAAACCACCCCAACCCAACCCGAAGGCCCCAATTTACCCTCGATTTCCAGTGGGGGGGGGTCGGGAAACATCGAAAAAACATACATGGAACCAGTACCCCCCCCAACCCGAAATTCGCGTCTTCGGGTTGGGTTGGGGTGGTCTGGTAAGTAGTCAGTGCACCCTGAGGAAAGCGGGTCCAGGACCCCAAGATTAGGATGGAGTTTCCGGGAGCTTACATTCAGCCAGCATCGGCGGTGGAGTTGTCCGTGGTCGAACCGCGCCCGCCTCCGGCTCGCTCCTGCCTGATCTGGCTGAGCCCCGCCGAATTCGGTTCAACCCTGGGCCTGCTGTGGCCCAGGCCTTCTACATCTGTGTCCTTCTGATATTTGTTACCTAGACCTCCCAGGACATGCCTCCTGACCCAAGGCTTGATCCCCACGGCCAGCTGCCCACCAGGAGTCGTTTTCTCGCGGGGTCCCTCGGCCCGTCGTGGCGCAACTGGCGAGCAGAAGCCCAGGGCCCGCTCCCTCCACTGGCCGACGAGGCTGCCGCCCCGCTGGGCCGCGCAGCTGGGGGACGCGGGCACCGAGGAGCTCGAGGGCAGCAAGCGGCATACCTCGAAGTCCGCGATCTGTGCTTCTGGGGTGATGGGGGGAGGGGGAAATTCTCGAAGGGTAAGAGCAGGCCTGAGCAGCCCAATCGTCGGCAACAGCAGACCGAAATTCCGAGCTCCTTGCGGCTGGCGATCGCAAGGTTTTGGTATTGACGGATCAAGCAAGCCAGCCGAGCGTATTTGAATTTGGCCCTGGAAATGACGCTCCGCCCCAGGCGATCTCCAAGGCATAGACATACATTTTCGGAGGTCCGCGCGGATTCATCTGATCGCCGCTGGACAGCCTTCCCTGGCGCACTCCGCGCTCCAGAGGCGGCGCCCGAGGCGCCGCCAGGAGGGTCCAGCGAGGACCTCCAAAAGTTGTGTGCCGCTTGCTTTTCTCCTCTTTGACGCACTGGTGTTTTGCTTTGCTCCCCTCCTATGTCCACCGCGCGTCGCGCAGCTTGCCGCCCTGCGGCCGCTTGCGGTTCCTGACCGCGACGAGTCTCTCCGCCTGTGGTGCCCGGCTCGCTCCACAGCAGCCTTGTTGCGGCTCGACCGCCACTTAGATCCGGGGTTCGGGGGCGGCAAAGAGGGGGGTGATGACTGGGGGTGTGTGGATATCATGGCGTGGGCCATGATATCTTATGGCGCCTCCTCTTATTTCCTTACGTCCCTGGCCCCGCCCCTGGGCCGTGCACATGGCGCCGGCCGCCGTGATTTGCGCCCCCTCCCTCTTGGACGCCCCCCTCTTGGCCGCCCCCGAGAGGTGCCGCGGCCCGAGAACCACAAGCGGCACAGCGGTGAATGTTCGGGGCTCCGCCCAGCGTCGCCCGTTCCCCAAGGGGGGCGCCTCCGAGCGCCCCCCGGGCAGGCCGGTCCGCCCGCGGGCAGGGGTTCCCGTGGCGCAGCGCGTGGTCCGAGGGCCGACTGCCCCAGGGCCCAGAAAGGCTGTCCCCTGCGATGCGGCGCGGGTGCCTCCTCCTCCTCCTCCTCCTCCTCCTCCTCCTCATCTCTTCTCCTCCTTCCTCTCCCTCCTCCTACTCCTCCTCCTCTTCCTCCCCCTCCTTTCCCTCCAGGATTACTCCACATGAATGCTACTCTCCTCCTTCCCCTGATGACGGGTTGGGAGTGTTCGCCCCCCCCCCGCATACTTTTTTTTCTACACAGGATTCCCCGGAGTTGGGTTTTCGCCTGCATTCTTTTCAAAATGCTGCTCTCGCTGAGGCGCCGGCCTCATTTTCGGGCCCCGCTCGTTCCGAATCATGCTCCCGCTGCAGCGCTGGCCTCATTTCCGTGCTTCCGCTCGTTCCGAATCGCGCTCCCGCTGCAGTGCTGGCGTCATTTCCGCGCTTCGCTCGTTCCCAATCGTGCTCCCGCTGCAGCGATGGCGTCATTTCCCGTGCCATGCCACGGCATGCAATGCAATGCTAGGTTGCGTTCCGCTGCCTGATGCCATGCCTTCATCTGAAGCTGTGATATGCAGTGCCACGTCGTGCTATGCCATGCTACGCTTTGATCTTCAACGCTATGCTATGCAATGTTATGTTCGGGGCCGCTGTGCGATGCCATGCTTTGCGTTGCAAAGCTTTGTGATGCAATTCTTCACTACGCCACGCCACGCCATGCTGTGACATACTACGCTTTGCGGTGCTCTTCTACGCCATGCCATGCCGTGCTCTACAATGCATCGCGTACCCTTTCGGGATCACTGCCCTGCTCGACATCCGACTGTGCGAGTAGAGAGGGGATCTACGCCATGGTAAGGGATGGGAGGGAGGGGTAACATGTCAGATATGACGCGAGCGCACCTAGCTTGTCCTCCTCATTCCTCCTCCTCCTCCTGCTCCTCCTCATTCCTCCTCATCCTCCTCCTCCTCCTCCTCCTCCTCCTCCTCTTCCTCCGCCTCCGCCTCCGCCTCCTCCTCCTCCTCCTCCTCCTCCTCCTCCTCCTCCTCCTCCCCGAGGGGGGTCCGCGTGCTCCTCCTTGCCCGAGGAGCTGGAGAGGGCGAGGGCCTCCACCGAGGCCTTCCTGCGGCGGCTGTGGCGGGACGCGGCGCAGAGGCAGCTCGCGGTGGACGGGGAGGGCGTGCCCATGCGCGCGTCCGCCGCGGCGGTGGCGCGCGCCTTCCTTTCGGAGGTGGGCCGCGGAGGCCCGCCCCTCGAGTTCTGGGCGTCGCTCAGCAGAAATCGGCGTGCGCCGGTTGTCTCCGCCTTTCGCCAGACTCCTCTGCCGCCTCCTCCTCTTCCCACTCCCCCTCCTGCTCCGCCTCCTGCTCGTCCGGGCCCTCCCCTTCCTCCCTCCTCCTCCTCCTCCTCCTCCTCCTCCTCCTCCTCCTCCTCCTTCCTCCTCCGTCCTCCCTCCTCCTCCCTCCTCCTTCCTCCTCCTCCTCCTCCTCCTCCTCCTCCTCCTCCTCCTCCTCCTCCTCCTCCTCCAGGGAGGCCGGCACAGCACCGAGTCAAGACATCCGCCTGGAGTACCGAAAGCCTATGTTCAAGCCGTTTTCTGTTTCCCTCGGAACGTCAAGAGATTCGGCGGCGAGCGAGGGGGCGAAGTGAGAATGATAAGGCCCTCTCAGACGGCGGCGGGGCTTCTCAGAAGCCCTCCGGCCTGCTGACCAGTCTCCTGTGCCTTCGCGGATGGCTTGGAGAAGTTCTCAGAAGACCAGGGGACTTCGAGCCTTCTGAGAAGGCCCGCCCCTTCTCGATTTCCCTCCGGGCTGCCCGCCGAGAAACGACCCATGATGAAAAAGCCGGCCTGGTGGGGGAAGTGGCCGAGGCCCTGGAGGCCGACGTCGCAACAGCAGAGCGGCGCCTCGGGGAGAGGGTCTGCCTGCAGGGGCGGGGGTCGCTGGCGACCCGGCCGCAGAGCCGCCCGCCCTCCGCGAGGGCAAGGACCCAGGCCTCCCAACAGCCCATCCAGTCCAGGCCCCCTCCCCCCCTCACTCTGGGCCTCCCAGGTGGGGTCAGAGAAGATAGGGTTGGAGGATCTCGCCGCATCGCCGATGCATCGGCGATGTATCGGCGAGGCGGCTCGATGTGGATCCCGATGTTCGCCACGCCGACGTCGTCGATGCATCGCCGACGTCGCAGGCGCATCGCCAGTGCATCAGCGATGCATCGCAGATACGCCGCGATCCTCCGACACAACCTACTCAGACCCCATCTGGGAGGCCTCTGCTCTCGAGAAAAAGAATGGCACGACCGGAGGTTTGAGCTATTCTCGGCCTCTGGGGGCCTCACCAGGCCCCAGGACCGTCAAGAAACGATTCGGGATGAGACCGCCTGTCCCAGGGAAGGGGTCCAGACCTCCAGGGATCCCAGTCATGAACAATCAGTTAACGTAGTGGGTCTTGAGGTTGCAGACGTGTTTTGCTTGTTCTGGCGCCGTCGCGGATGGTCGGCGGTCTTCAGCCTCGGGATGCTCTACACCATCTGCGCCTTGCCGAGATCGCTCTGGGGTGCACGGATCGTACCGGTCGGCTGCCAGACCAGAGATCCGATTTACGACCCAAGAACCAGACGACGAGGACATTGGGGGGAGGGGGGGAATGCGTCGACCCACAATCGTCCATTCACCGCCGATGATGGCTCGATAGCCCCCCCTTGCCCAGGACCGTTCGGATTCGCCATCGAGGGGCTATCGCCGATCTATCCGCGATGTATCCCCGATTCAAGCTCGATGTTTCCTTCCGTGAGCTGGTTCCCCTTGACGCCCCCCAGTCAAGATGGGTTCGAAGGATCGCACCGCATCCCAGGCCTCCTGGCGCTGTAAAGAAAATCGCAACCGAGGTTTTGCCTGCCATTTCCGGCCTCTGGGTCTTGCACTGGGCCCCGAGACCGTCATCGTGGAAAGTTGGCCCCTCGAACCACAACGCGACCCTGGAGTCCCGGACCACCCCTCTGGCCCATCCCGCCGTCGCCGTTGCATCGGCGATGCGGCGCGCTCTGCCGACCCCATGCGCTCCAGCCCCATTCGGGAGGCCTCCGAAGGAGGAGGGCGGCGTCGGCGAGGGCGGGGCGGCCGCGTGGCTGCACGTGGACCGGTGGATGTCTCCGGAGGCGCTCGTGCGCGAGGAGTCGCTATGAAGAAGATCGGGGGCCCCCAGACGGTGTGGTGACCACACCGCGTGGTGAGTCGTCGGCGATTCGGGATGACTCGGGGTCACCTCGCGGATTTGGGATGGGGGTCGTCCTCCGAGGACGTCTCGGGCGACCGGGGCCTCCGAGGTCCCAAATCCGTACGGTGGTGACGGACCGCGCTGTGAGGTCGGAGGCGATTCCGAGGTCACCATGCGGTCCGTCACCACATGGTCTTGGGGGCGTGAGAAGAGCGGTCCTGAGAGGGAGGACCATGCCTCTTCGCGTTGTGGCAACAAATCGCGACGGGATGCAGGTGGCAGCTTTCAGCCTCCGGGGGCCCGTACAATGCCTGGGGATGGTCAAACAACTGCCCAGGCTGAGAAGTTGGTCGTGGGAAAGGGGTCCAGACCTCTGGGGTTCCACGACGATGCGAACATCAACACAAAGTCCCAATTCTTGGTTCGTTCGTTGCTTTCGAGTTCCTGGTGGCCTCTCCCGTGCCTTGGGGACCGTCAGAGAGCTATTGGGAACCATCAGCGTGACCCTTCGCTTGGATCTGGCCCCCTGCGGCCCCTGGAAGCCGTGCAGCACAGGGCACCCTTGCACGGGGTAGCTCTCGTGTGTAGGAGCGGTCCAGAGGAGAGCCTGGGTGGGTCCAGGACTCGATCCCCTCGGGGGGGGGCCTCTTGGGAGTTTCTCTTGGGCGCCTGCTGGCGGTCTCGGGGGTCCGACAATATCCCTGAACAGATCTGTTTTTTTTACCTTAGCTTTAGTTTAGCGTTAGCTTAGCTTTAGCTTAGCGTTAGCTTAGCTTTAGCTTAGCTGTGGCTTAGCTTCAGCTTAGCTTTGGGTCGCACTGGGATAATTTCAATCCGCAGCCCAGAGAGCCCGGTCCCTCCCCCTGTGGGGGGCTTCTCGAGCCCTCGCCTCCGATATACACGCGCTGGCTGGGCCTATGGGGCCCGAGAGCGGGCCCCCCGAAGCCCGCAGCCGAGGAGCAGCACCGGGACTGGATGCCTCCTCCCCCTCCTCCTCCTCCTGCTCCTCCTCCTCTCTCCTCCTCCTCCTCCTCCTCCTCCTCCATCCTCCTCCATCCTCCTCCTCCCTCCTCCCACCTCCCTCCTCCCTCATCCCTCCTCCCTCCTCCCTCCTCCTCCTCCTCCTCCCCCTCTCCTCCTCCTTCCTCCTCCTCCTCCTCCTCCTCATACCGGGCCCCGGAGCCATCAGAGATGGCTCCTGGGCCAAAATGTCGGCCACCGTCCGCACACGTCTCGTGGCCCCACCGTCGACACCAAACGTGTCAACCCGACACACCAGATGCGAGCCAAATGCGGGGGCTGAGCAGCAAGAGAGGAAGCACGTCGTCCTCGACATCCGATAGTTTGTTTTTCTGCACGTGGTCCCCAGAAGTCACGACCCTTTCCCCAGGGCCAGTTTTTGTCCCGAGTCGTCTTCTGGTGCTTTTGGGGCCTGGCAAGGGCCCCTGGAGACCGAGAGCGACAGAGCAACCGCCCGGCGGGCTCTTAGTCACGGCTCGTGGACGTAATTATGGATTTTTGGCCTCTCCCCGAGGAGGGCGGCCGCTTCGCCGAGGAGGACTTCCTGGATTTCGTGCCGTGCTTCTGGCGCAGGTCGGGCGGGGCTAGGGCGACATTCCAGATGTTCAGCAATTATCGCTTCTCAGGAGGGAAAGACACACACACACACACACACAGACACAACTAATCGTCGACTCCCAGGAAAATATGGGAAAATATGGGAAGTGGGGGGGAAGACAAAAACCTAGAAAATACGGGAAAATATAGGGAATCCTGCTATTTGTGTATATTTCTTTTGTGTCCCAGGGCCCCTTCAGTCTCACCTATCCCCGTCCCTCTGGGCCAGGGTATCTCGGCCCCACCATCCCACCACCCCAGCTTGGGATGGGCCCCTCGAATCCCGAGGGAAACCGCGTAGATCCCCATCTGGGGAGGTACATCGGCCAGTGGGGCCACAGGGATCGGTTTCCCTGACCCTCCACCTTCTGCACCTTCCGACCAAGAGGTGGTGGATTTCGTGATCTCCTTGAGGGACAAACAGTGTCATACGCATGAGACTTTCGGAGCTCCGCGCGGATTTCTGGGATCTGCGGTGGCCCCCCTCCCTGGCGCGCGGAGCGCGCCAGGGGCGGCGCCGGAGGCGCCGCTAGGGGGATCCAGCGATGGAAGGTGGAGGGTCAGGGTAGCGGATGCTCAATACAGGGTCTCCAGAAGTACCGACTCTCTCCCCAGTGCCTATCTTGTATCTTGTTTCGTCGTTGACGGTCTTGGGGCCAGGCGAGGGCCCCCAGAGGCCAACAACCATGAAAAACCGCATAATGCATTGCTTGAATACGTTGGATGTGTTGGTTAAACGATGCTCAGACTAGATGTCTCCCCGTCCGTTGTTCTCCCTGTCCTGGCTTCGGTATATGCTCGGTAGCGGGTGCTTTCTGTCGACGCCATTTGGGTAGCAACACGCTAACACACATGGTTGTACTATATGTTCGGCTCAGACGTGCGCCACCAAGGGGGGGCGCATCATACTATTGTGTCCTCCTGCGCTCCATGCCCAGAATCTCGACGTTGTGTTTTTGTTTCGCAACGTCGACCCTCAGAGGTCTCGACCCCTTCCTGGGGACCAGTTTTTCATCCTGACTCGTTTTTTGGTGGTCACGGTGCCCTGTAAGGGCCCGCCCCCAGAGGCAGAAATTAGCGAAAAACAACTCCGGTCGTGCTTTGTTTCACAACGCGAGGCGGTTTGGGCTGAACGATGCTCCGATGTCTCCCCGTCCGATCTGGCCCCCGCCCTTTCTCTCTCGACGGCGAGCCCGGGGGAGACGGGGAGAAGCGAGAAGGGTCGGGCCTTCTCAGAAGGGCCCCGGAAGTCCCCCGGCCTCTGAGAAGTCTGCTGAGCCTTCCCCGAAGACGCGAAAGCTTTCTCAGAAGGCGCCAGGGCTTCTGAGAAGTCCCACCGCCTTCTGAGCAGGCCGTCTCCTTCTCACTTCAACCCCTGGCTCGCCGCCGAGTTGGTAGCTTGTCCTCTGGGAGGGGGAGTGCCACTACCCTTGGCTCGGGCGTGTCCTCCTGCAGGCGGTCTTTAGAAGAGAAACATGAAAGACATTGCCAAGAGATGCCCAGACGTGGCCAAGAGTACCAACACCGTCCCCAGACTATTTGTTAAAGGCATTTCTCGACATCCCCCCCCCCCCTTGGCATCGCTCGGACGTGTGCGTTTGCCCTCCGGCGAGGACCATCGAGGAGCATCCTTGATCATTTGGCGAAGAAACCACGCACGAAACCGAAAAAAGCATGCGGAATGGACGTCCGAGCGATGGCGAGCCCCCGCTCGCCGCCAACGCTCCGCCCCGGCAGGCAGCTGGCCCGCGCCGACCGCGCCGAGGCCGCGCGCCTGGCGCGCCAGCTGGGCGGGGACGACCGGCTCGGCTGGCTGCGGAGCGCGGCCACGGACAGGCCCTCGGGCCCCGTCGGGGGCGGCGACGGCGACGACGACGAACAGGGAGGGGTTTAAAGTTTGCGCTTGGCATCGCTCGGACGTGTGCATTGTTCCCTCGGCGAGGACCATCGAGGAGCATCCTTGATCATTTTGAGAAAACCACGCACGAAACCAAAAAAAATACAGGGAATGGACGTCCGAGCGATGGCCAGAGTCAGGGGCGACGACGACGACGACGACGACGGACAGGGAGGGGTTTCAATTTTGTGTGTCAGTCACGGGGCGTGGTCTCCGCTCACGAGATCTGCGTCCCCAGTGCCGTAAATATGTGGCCAGGGAAGAGGCCCCTGGAGGGCACGGCGGAGTCTCTGCAGAGAGGAGTCACCGTGCCACGAAAGTGTCCAACTTCATCGCGCCAAAGAAAATAGGATAGGGAGGGGATAGTCCACGCTTCTATCATACAAGGGGGGACCAGGCCCCCGGCCCTGGGGGCGGCACGCTTTCAAAACTCTCTCCCCCCCCGGTCCCACTTTCAGTCCCGTGGGGGGGGCCCACCTTTTTCGGGGCGCTTCGGGGTTGGGCCTGCTGTTGGAGGGGGCGCAAATCGGCTCTTGGAGCGATCGGACAGCCGTCCGGGCGGCCCACGACGGCACCGAGCCACCCTGAAGACGGCCTCCAGAGGTCTCCAGCGGCCCACGAAGCTTTCCAAACGGACCAAGCGGCCCCCAAGACGGCCCAAAAAGGCTCCAAGAGGACCCGACGAGTGCCCCAATGAGGCCCCAAAATTGTGATTTGTCTTTTGTTTCTTCCGGATTTGGGCGTTCTTACCGCTTCGGGCTTCCAACGCCCTTGCCTGTTCAAGAGGCGCCCAAGACTGCCCCGAAACGGCCCAAGAGGGGTCCAAGAAAGCAATTTAGACCGCGCCAGAGACCTCTCGGGAGCCCAAGATGACTCGAGAGGGCCGCAGGATGGCCCAAGAAGCCCCCCAACACGGCCCAAGAGCGACCCAAGACGACCCCGAGAGGAGGAACACGGGCGTATAATTCCAGCCGTCCGTTCCCCCAGGACCCAGGAGGCCCAACGAGGCCCCGACGAGGCGCCTCGAGGTTCCCGAGAGGCTCCCCAAGAGGCCCCAAGAGGCCCCCAAGAGGAGGCCCGACAGAGGCCTCAAGCATCCCCAAAACGGCCTTCAAAAGGCCTCGCAGCCGCCCTCGACGAGGTTCCCGGGAGGCTTCCCACGAGGTGCCACCAAACACCCAAGATACGTCTGGCATGCATACGTATGATGTACGTAGGATGTATGGATGCGCATATGTGTGTATACACACATATATATACATATATACATACAATCATATATATATATATATATATATATGTATATACATACATACATACATGCATGCATGCATGCATGCATGCATACATACATACATACATACATACATACACGGAAGGTCCCGGCCCTGGGGCACAGGAGGGGGGGCCCGTTTGTACAGAGCGGCCCCCGCCCTCCCTGGGGGCTCCCCGGCCGGCCCTCGAAGTTCAGAGACGGCCTCGAGGCGTCCCACGATCGGCCAAGACAGCCTCCGGTTTCCAGGCGGCCCAGGGCGCCTCCAGGAGGCGCCTGGAGGACCCCAAGAGCATTCCGAGACGGCCAGGAGCGGTTTCAAGACGGCCCAGACGCCGCCAAGACGCCCCAAGAGGCCCTCTGAGAGTGCGCGGGCTTTCAAGGTTGAACGCAGGCAGTGGTCCTGAAAAGGCCTATCTTGGAGCCATCTTGAAGCCCAGGAAGCGGCTGATGGACGAAAAGAAATGTCTTGGATCCCACAGCACCCTTCCTGAATACAGCAGCTCTTGACGAGTCACTCCGCTCCCTGCCTTGAGGCCTTGCCGGAAAGCAACTTCAGTGATATACTTACCCGCCCGATGGGCAAGGAAGAGGCGTCGATGACGTGGTTCCCAAAACCTAGCTTCTTGATGCCGAACCGTGCTCCAGATTCGATGCGATGCGATGCGATTCGATCACCGTTGCGGACAGCGTCCGTGGCCTAGCTCAGACCAGGTCAGCGAGGCCGTGACCGCGCGAATCTGGCTTGTCTGGACACGTGCATTGCAAAACACATAATAAGTTAGGAGCAGGTTCGAGTGGGCTTCTTAGTCGTTGGAATCAGCACTAAACTAGCTGCCTGCAACTGTCTGGGCATGCCTCCGGCAAAGTCGATTGGCTTCTTTCACCGGCAGACGATTCTCGCCTACTCTTTAGCGACATGTGCTGAAAGTACAAGGTGGGGAACCTGTCCCACGCGGAAGCCGTCACGTGGGAGAACGTCATCGCTACATCAATAGGCTCTACTGGGTTCGAATTCTGGATGTTACGGCTCCTGGGGTCCTTGTCGTATAGCGTATTCTGGTTTGGTAGTGGAAGTATTCCAAAGGTTGCTTAGACGTTCGGCCTCGTGTTCCAGAGGGAGGAGGAGCGGGAGGAGGAGGAGGAGGAGAGGAAGCGATAGCCCAACGCAAAGGAGGGTTGCGAGAACCCTCCCATTGCCTGTTGGTTCACGGCGCGAGTGGTCTGACGGTTTGGGCCCCGACTTCTTGGCAGACCCCCTCGCGCGCGCCGCCCAGAGGCCTTCGGAGCTGTACCAGCGTTGCCTGCGCTGGAAGGCCGAGCAGCCCGAGCACGTGCTCCTGGTTCAGGCTCGTCGAAGAACTACATTTGGCGGCGAGCGAGGGAGGGACACGAGAAGGAAAAGGCCTTCTCAGAAGGCGGCGGGACTTCTCAGAAGCCTTCGCGCCTCCTGAGAAGTGCTCTGTGTCTTCGAGGAAGGCTCAGAAGACTTCTCGGAAGGTCGGGGGGCTTCCGAGCCTTCTGAGACGGCCCGCCCCCTTCTCGCATCCCCCCCCTCGCCCGCCGCCGACACAGATTCACCGCCCACCAAATCCACCCCAGCCCAACCCGAAGGCCACGATTTGCCCTCCCTTTCCAGTGGGGGGGGTCGAGGAACATCGAAAAATCACGTGGAGCTCGTACCCCCCCCCAAACCCGAAGTTCGGATCCGATTCGGGTCTTCGGGCTGGGTTGGGGTGGCTTGGGTAGGCAGTCACATACTGCACCGACGAGTGACGTCTGGAGTCTCGCGCGGCTCTCCGGGGTCCGTGCCAGGCGTGCTCGCGGGGAGGCAGAGTGTGTTCCGCCGCGGCGCGGCAGACGGCGGCACGCACGCGCGCTCCGGGGAGCCAGGCGCGGCCACACGCGAGAATCGGAGGGAAAAGCAGGCGCGCAGACACGAGGAATCGCCGATGCCCCAGAACATCTGGGAAACCACGGAAAGGGGGGAAGGAGTACAACCCCAAGAACACATGGGAAAAGAGGGGGGATCCTGTTGTTTGTGTCGGTTTGTTGGCGTGTCCCAGGGCCCCTTCAACGAGTCGTCTGGCGGCAATTGCAGCTGGGGGGGGAGCGCGGCCGCGGAGGGCGGCCCGAGGCCCAGCGAGGCCCCACGGAGGCCGAAACCGGCCGGAAACCTCCCGCCGTGATCGTTCAGCGGCACGGGCATGCCTTGCCTGGTGCCGCGCGCTGTCCTCCCCAGGATCGGGGGCGGCAAAGAGGGGGGTGATGACGAGGGGGGGGCTGGACGTTATGGGGTGGGCCATGCCATTTCCCCAGATTTCCGTGGAGGCCGAACCCGGCCAGACACCTCCCGCCGTGACCGTTTGGCGACACGGGCATGCCTGGCCTGGTGCCGCGTGCTGTCCTCCCCACATCAAGCAGTGGCGACGCGTCCTGGCGTGCTTATAGGCCTACCAAACAATGTTCTAAGAACCTTTTGAGCTCTGCACGAAATGTTTTTAGAACATGTCTGTTTGAGACTGTCTTGATTTAGCACATCGCGTTTGTGATCTAAGCACACGTTTGTTGTTCTTAGAGCCTCGTTGGGTTCTAAGAACACTGCGTGGTAGGACTATATGGGTTGCCGGGACGGTCGGTCCCTGCTCAGCCAGCAGGTCGGCGACTTCTTCGAGTCGTGGGGTGTGGACGCGGTGATGCTGGTGCAGTGGTGCGGGCTGGCGCCCATGGCGCGGAGACCGCGGGCGGGGTTCCCGGCCAGCGCCTCCACCCTCCAGCAGGCGGGGCAGCTCCTCAAGGAGCGGGGAAGCGTCCTGGCCGTCGAATAGTGCCACCAGAGAATGCTCTCAGAACCATTGTGGTTTCCACGAAATGTTCTTAGAACCTTTCTGGCGGAGTCTGTTTCGTTTTATCACATCGGGTTTATGCTAGAACATTGGTTGTTGTCTGTGTTTGGTTATGATAGGACATGTTAAACAATTGGTTATGTTTGGATCACTGGTTATGTTAGAACATGGTAGAACATTGGCTATGATATAACATCGGTTAGAACATTTCCTTTGTTCTTAGAACTTTTTGGGGTTCTAAGACCAGTTCGCGGTAGGACTACAGGAATGCCGGGACGGCCGGTCCCTGCCCAAGCTCCGAGGGGGCCACCACCAGTCGAGGGCACCGTCAGGGGAGGGATATGATGGGCTTGTTTTCCATTGCCACCACCATCAGTTGGAGGGGGAAGGAGGAGGAGAATGGGGAGGAGGAGGAGGAGGAGGAGGAGGAGGAGGAGGAGGAAGAAGAAGAGGGGGAGGAGGACCCCTCCCCCTCCAACTTTTGGTGGTGATGGAAAACAAGCCCATCAGGATGGGCCAGGGGATGGGCTAGGGGGGGAGATGGGCTAGGGGGGGGATGGGCTAGGGATTGGCTAGGTGGGGGGGGGATGGGGAAGGGGTGGGGGGGACGTTTCGGGTTCGAAGGGTAAGGCTTTCGGGCGGCTTCGTTGGTTACCTGCGGCTTTTTCCCGTCTCGGTGTGTTCTCTCCGGCAGCCCGCGCCTCGCCGATGGGCGTCCTGGGGCTTCCTGGATCCTCCCGAGCGGCCTCTTGAGACCCGAGTTATTGACAGGACCACCAGACCACGAGGATCTCCTCCTCTTCCTCCTCCTCCTCCTCCTCCCCAGTTGCCTCCTCCTCCTCATCCTGCTCTTCCTCGATCTCCTATTGGGGGGGTGACGAGTCGACGCCTGATCGCCCATGGGTCGCCGGTAGGTCCCCGATAGCCCCACACCGCCCAGGACATTTTCGGATGCGCTATCGGGGTCCTGTCCGCCGATCTATCGACGATACATCGCCGCTTCACCCTTGATGCTCCCCCCTAAGCTGGTCCCCCCCCGAACGTTGCCCCTCAACTGCGGGGGGTCAGCACTTTCTCCCAGGAGGCGGTTTCGTGGGCTCTGCAGTGCTTTCTCGGGCTTTGGTTCCTCCTGGAAGCGGCGTTTCTTTGAGGAAATGGCGGTCCCCCGAGGTTGCGAGAGAATTCAAAAAGCGCGACTGCCCATGTTGACAATGCACTGAAAACTCGTTGTCGCCGCAGTGGTGCTGACAGGGGTGGACCTAAACGGTATTTTGGAGATTTTGTGGGCCGTTTTCGTTTCGATCTCGATTTGCAGCATAGGCGGATTGAAGACGAGGGAAAACGAAAACAAGACGAAAACGAAGAACACTGTTTAGGTCGATCCCTGGTTGCTGATGCACCACGTCCACATTGCAGAGAGGGTGGGTGGGTGGGAAGGGGCCGTCCGCTCCTTGACAAACACCCTGCCCCGATCGTGGCCGCCGCGATCGCCGCGGCGACCGACCAAACCGACCCGGAGGTTTGCCTGGGGGTCGGATGTCTCGGGAGCCTCGAAACGGGGGTCAGTGCAGACGGGGGTCAGCCAGGGCACCGGATCCTGCAGGATCCTGCGAAGTCTCCCTCTGGTTGACCCGGGTCAGCGAGCCGCTCGTGGCCGCGAGGCGGCCACGCACACTGGCTGACCCAGGTTTGCGAAGACCTGCGATGCAGTTTTCTGTTCCTGCATGGCAGTTGTTTGGTTTCCTGCTGGCCCGGGTCTGAGGAGGAGGAGGAGGAGGAGGAGGGAGGATGAGGAGGAGGAGGAGGGAGGAGGGGGAGGAGGAGGAGGAGTGGATTCACCCGGGTCAGAAGAAACCCCCACCACATATCGCGCAACGACCCCCTGACGGTGACCTCCCCTGGCGCTGCCCGGGCAGGTGCTCAACGGCCTCACGGAGGCGGGGCTCGGCGCGGCCGTCTACGTGCAGACCGGTGCCCCCGGCCAGCAGCGCCAGCCGCGGGAGCTGCGGCAGGCGGCTCGCCACGGAGCAGAGCCTTGGCCGCGCGCGGAGGGGGGCAGGGCAGAGGGGGGGAGGCTTCGTAGCGAGAAGCCCCTCTGCTGCTCGTCGGGGGAGGAGAAGAGGGGGGTGGTGACCATGGGGGGGGGGGGATATCATGGCGGGGGCCATGATGTCTTCTCAGATTTCATGGCGCCTCTTCGTGTTTCAATACGTCCCCAGGCCCCCCCCCCCTGGGCCGCGCAAATGCCGCCGGCCATGGTTTGCGCACCCCCCTCTTGGACGCCCCCCTCTTGGCCGCCCCCGATCTTAGAAGGCGCGGGCCCTATCTGTCAAGGCCTCCTAGATGGGGCTCGAGTAGATGGGGTCGGAGGATCAAGCCGCATCGCCGATGCGGCTCTTTTTGCTGCACGTCGACATCGCCAATGTCGCCGACGTCGATGATGCACCGCTGGTGTACCGCCGATGCACCGCCGATGTCTCGGCCATGCGGCGCGATCCTCCGACACCATCTACTCCGACCCCATCTGGGAGGCATCCAGTCTGTGGATGTAGGGCTAGCGCCTTCTAAGAAGCAGGCTCCTTCTACGAAGCCTTCCCCCTCCCCGTACGCCCCCTGCGCGCCGCCAAAGAGCGGAATTCCTGAGCCTTCTGCACCGCCGTCGGGCTTATCCCTGACCCTTCACCTCCTCCTCCTTCAACCCTGCCGAGGTGGTGACGCCCGGCGCGCCCACCTACCTGTTCGGCTCCAGCCTGAAGCGCACCGGAGACCAGGGGTTCGCCGAGTTCTCCGAGGGACGCCCGTATGTCGCCCTCCGCCTCCGCGCAGACGGCTACTTCTACGCGGAGCTCCGGCCGTACCGGCGCGAGGTGCGCGTCGTGGGTTACTAAGAAAACTGTTTCTGGAGCTCCGCGCGGATTCTGTTGAATCGGCGTTGGACCCCCACCTGGCGCGCGGAGTGCGCCAGGGGGCCGCGACGCCCCTGGCGTGCTCCGCGCGCCAGGGGTCCGAGCGCCGACCTGACAACATCCGCGCGGGCCTCCGAAAGTCTATATTCAGGAGAGAAAGAAACACACAGACACAATTAATCGTCGATTCCCCCGAAAATATAGGAAAATATGGGAAGTGGGGGGGAAGACGAACATCTCGGAAGTATGGGAAAATAGGGGGAATCTTGTTATTTGTGTGTGTGTGTGTTTCTTTGTGTGTCCCAGGGCCCCCCCATATACGTTTACGCTGTTTCTTGACGGCGACGGCGGCAGCGTCGGCAGCGGTGGCCCCGGCCGCGGGAGTTCGATCATGGACCCCTTGTTCGATCATGGACGGGTGCCCTTCCAGGGCCCCGACCCTGGCCAAACGCCAAGGCAGGGCGAGGCCTCTCTGCGCTGTCCTCCTCCTCCTCCTCCTCCTCCTCCTCACCATCACCACCACATTCACCATCACTATCACCATCACAGTCACCATCACAATCACATTCACCATCACCATCACCATGGGAACTGCCAAAGACCGCCTGAAACCTCCGAATGCCACCAGAAGACCGCCGAAGACTCCCTCCGAATGCCCAGAAGACCGCCGAAGACGGCCTAGGAGCGAGGGGCAACGAGGCGTCCATGGTCGAACACGTATTTTTTCGCCGTCCCTCGTCCTGCGGGAGGTGCGCTTCTGCGAGAACGTCGCGCCCGAGGGCGTCGAGTCTCTGCTGGCCGAGAACGACGGCGTGCGGCGGCAAGTCAGGGAGGGACAGGCTCAGGGGCGGGTGCCTCGGCCCCCTATACCGCCCGCTCATCGCCGACGGTGGCCTGATAGCCCCACCCCGCCTAAGAAGGACCGTGCGGATTCGCCACCCGGGCGCCTATTGCAGATATACCGGACATGCGTCGCCGAGTCCGAGTCGATGCCTCGCCCACCTGAGCTGGTCCCCACCCAGCGTTAAGTCGGGCCCGTCCTTTTACAGGAGGAATATTCAAAAATTGTAAAAAAAATAGTCTGGGGACTATGTTTTGAGTAGTTGTTGCCCATCTTGGGATATTTTTGGAGTATTTCTGATGTTTCGTCGACAATCCCCCTGTAGGGGAAACCCAGCGATGCCCCTCAGGCGTGGCCTGGCCGGTGCTCGTCGACGGCCCCGCGGGGCAGGCCCCGCGGCAGGTGGACCAGCTGCAGGGCCTGCCCAAGCAGAGGAAGTGGCTCGGCCTGCCAGCGGACGTCTCGGACGAGCAGTTTCTGGACCGCTGCTGCCAGGCCCGAGGGGCCCAGACCCCCTCGGGCCGTGGCAGAGAGCCGTGGCGGCACGCTCTTGGCAGTGTTCGGCCTCGGCTCCGGGGGGGGGGGGACCTCACCGTGCCCCAGGAGCACCAGAAAAACGGCTCGGGATGAGAACCAGGGGGCCCGGGGGGAGGGGTCAGGACTTCGGGGGACCCCGCACTTCACGAGGTCAAGGTATTGCAAGGCCAGGAGGAAGAAAACATCGACTCCGATGCAGTCACAGGGTGTCGTTGTGGGATCGGTCCTACTCCTCATCCCCTCCCTCCTCCGCCTGTCTTTCCCCCTCCCCCTCGTTCTGCTCCTCCTTCTATCGATCCCCGTTGGGGGGCAACCTGACTGCATCGGAGTCAATGTAGGCATCAAGTTTCGGAGGTCCGCGCGGATTCCTTTGATCGGTGCTGGTGGTGGCGCCCCTGGCGCGATCTGCGCGCCATGGAGGGGCCTCCAGCGCCGGCCGAAGATGTCCGCGCGCACCTCCCGAAGCCTGCGTCCTCGGGCGATGAGGTCTACAGCCCCACGGCCCCTGGCCGGGCCTCCTCCCTGGCCGGGCCAGGAGGCCGCGCGCACCGCTCCTGGGCCCAGGATGGGCCTGGCCAGCGGCGGCGGAGATGTGAAGATCTCGTCTCTATATGACTACCATGGGATCCCACGTCACGAGCACGTTGCAACACCGCGCAGCAAGAGAGCTCGACGGGAGGCCTGGGCCCAAACATTTTCTGCTGCATCTGTCAGGCCAGATCGATCCGTGAGGCCCCTGGTGCCCGAAGCATGGCAACATTGCGCCTTGTGGGACAATGCGTCGCCAGGCTGTCAGGGTGTGCTGGTGCGTCCTCCTCTGCAGGTGCTGTCCGCCGAGCTGCACCTCGCCCAGGAGCCAGCCTTCCAGCTGGTCCGCCTGGATGGGGGGGGGGCGTTGCAGCCGCTGTCGCTGACGACGGCCCGCAACCTCGGCGTGCTGCCTCGGGACGGCGTCCCCAACCTGGTGAACGGGCGAACGCGAATGATCGGCATCTTCTCGCCGATCCTCAGTCCCCATGGGGCCACGGCATTTCTGGAGGACACAGCGGCATGAACGTCAATTGTCTCTGCTCTGGGCGGGCCCGCCTGCCTAGTAGCAGCACGCCGCCCTCCCCTTCATTGTGGCCAGTTTCTTCTGTGCAGGGCGCGACTCGACTCGACTCGAGGGGCCATTCCCGCCCCCTCGCGTTGTGAACAAAACGCGACGGGAGGCTTTGCTCCATTCTCGGCCTCCAGGGGCCCTCACTGGGCCTCGGGGCGTCCAACGCCGACTCGGGCTGACGAACCGGTAACGGGCAAGGGGTCGAGACCTCTGGGGGCCGACGTTGTGAAAGCATTCCGACGTCGGGGGTCTGGGCTCCCGGACCCCCGACGTCATGCTCTGATCAGGGCGTGGGCCCCCAGAGGCCCAGGGATCCCTTCCCGGGGACCGTCGTCTGCATCCCGAGCCGTTTTTGGACGGTTGGGCCGACAATTGCCCAAGACTTGCCATCATGATGTTCTCCCATCGTGATTGGGTCTGGTCTTTTCACCCCAGACGGTGCCCTGACGGCCCTGGAACCCAGAAGCGCCCCCCCCCACAAACAAATGCGTACATGTGTCGCGATGTTGTCCAAGACGTTTGAGGCTTTGTCCAATGGGCGCCGCCCAGGTGAGCCACATCCTGCCGAAGGACGCCCCGGCAGCGGCCAGGCACGCGGGCAGGGTTTATGCCCATATCCCAAGGGAGCAGGAAGTCATGATGACGTTACGATCTACAAATTTCATGTTTTCTTTCTGGCTTTCCGATTGTTGCGTGCGGACTCCATAACCGATGGCCGCTAGGGGCTCTGGAATCCCTGGAACGTAACTTGAGCCAGTCGCATCATGACATCGCTCTCGTCCTACAAACCACGGCGTCTTGGATGTTTGGGGAAAGGGTGCCCCCCCCCAAAATGCAGCAGATGTTACAAGAATTGTTTCTCTGGAGGCCATAATCTCTATCCACACAGATGGCGTTTCGGATTTGCAGGGGAGGGAGTCGACCGAGAGTGCGTGAGGCAGTGTTGGGGGGTAGATCTTGCCCGCAATCACCGAGCGCGTTCCACTACTCGCAGAGTGCCTGCTCGCAAGCGTCCGACAAAACAAAAAATGTCTGCACCAACGACATGTATCGTGAATCTCGCATGGCGCATCCAGGCCATCTGCGAGCAGCTACTTTTGCGAGTAGTGGAGCGCCCTCGTCCACCTTCAGGCACTTCTTCGGCCGGTGGCTGCTGGCCCCGCGCGGCGAGGCCGCGGTGGCCGCCATGCGGGAGCTGCTGCGCGCGGTGGCAGGCAGCTCGGCGCCGGCGCTGCCGCCGCTGCTGCGGGTGCCGTCGGTGGCCAAGGTGCAGGAGGGGAGCAAAACACAGACACCATCAATCGCTGATTCCCAGGAAGATATGGGAAAATATCGGAAGTGGGGGGGAAGACAAAAAACCCAGAAACTATTGGAAAAGATTGGGAATACGGTATTTTGTGTGTATTCATTGGTGTGTCCCAGGGCCTTTTCAAAGGTGCACGTCCAGGATAAGTCCCTTTCCGCCACTTCGGAGACGCGCCCCATCCGGGGCAACGTTTAGCGGCGATGGGCTCATGTGGAGATGCATCGACCCCCAATCGCCCATTCATCGCCGAGAGGGCCGGAGCATCCTCCCCGCCCAGGAGCCTGCGGTGTCGCTATCGGGATCCTGTCGCCGATCTGTCGGCGATGCATCGCCGATGCGAGCTCGATGTTCCCATCCCCTGAGTTGGTGCCCCCCCTGCAGCGTTGCCTCTCACGAGTGCGTCCCATCCGCTGCCTCGGAGCCGTGCCCTGGGACTACGACTGCCCGGGCCGCCCAGAATCAGATCGTGCACAAGGACCGAACGATACTGCTACCCCTTGCCTCGATTTTTACTTGTGGGGGCCTGCTGGGAGGCCCTCGTCGCCACGGCTGGGTTCGCTTCGATCTTCTGGTCAGAAGGCACCCCGGGAGAGGTCCGGGCATAGGAGGCATCGGTATCTTTGCTTACCTTAGAAAACGTCCCATCCGCCGCTCAGGAGTCGTGCCTTGGGAGCACGACGGTCTAGGCCGCCCAAGTGGGAGTAGCTGGGGTCGGAGTCTCGCGCCACATCGCCTGTGGATGGGCAATGCGGCGCAGTCCGGAGCCCGACGTGATCCATCCTGGCGTCGCCATGCCACGCCGATGTATCCGCGATGCGGTGCGGTCCTCCGGCCCCGTCTCCTCCATCCCCATCTCCTCCGACACGCTCTGGTCGGCCTTTCGACGAGTGGCACATGTTGAGATCTGCCCGCCTGCTGGGACGAGAAGATGCGCCTGCATCCGCAGCGCCCCAGGGACCAGAGGCTGGACTCCCGACTCAGCGGCCCTTCGAGGAAATCCGGCATGACCATCGGCAGTCGGGGGTCCGCGCGGATTTCTCGCATCGGCGCTGGACCCTCCTCCCTGCCGCGTGGAGCGCGCCACGCCGACAGGGGGGGTCCAGCGCCGATCCGACAAACCAGCGCGGACCTCCGAAAGTTTATGCTTAGTTCCCCAGTGGAGCGACGCAGAACAGCGGGCCGTCTCCACCGACACTGCCGCCGAAGCTACCGGCGCAAGGTCGCGCGTAAGCGTCCTAGTTTCCGCTGCAGCATGCCGCGCTGGCGGCACGCGTAATTAAGCCGCTGCGCAAGGTCGCCATGCCATCTCGCGAAAGACCCTTTCCTTTTCGTTGCCCGCTGGGGCGCCCAAGGGGGTGTGCCCGCTCTGCCCCGGCCGGCCATGCTAGGGGCTCCTCGGACTCTTTGGTCGTGTCTTCGTCATGTCGCCGTGCCGTCCCGAAGAAGACTTCTGCCTGAGGGGGGCCCTTGCTTGTGCTTGCATTGCCCGTGGGTGCCCGGGCTTAGCTGGCCGCCCTTGCTCGGGTTCCTCGGTCTTGATTCCTGATGGTTGTCTGAAGATGCGGATGCGGATGCGGATGCCCATGCGCGGTCCGGCCCCGACGGGGCCAGGAAAAAGATTGTGCCGTGGCGCGGAAGAGAACGCCCACCTTCTCGATCTCCTCCTTCAGGCCCCTTCTTAAACCATACTCTCCCGCCCTGATGTAAAGCCACCTTTTTTAACAACCATGTTATTGAACCACGTTTCCTAAACCACAATCTGTATCCTGAGTCTGTATTGTGGATCTGCAACTGACGATTTTCGCCGTCACACGAATGCATGCAGATACATTATGACGCGCGTTGCTGCCAGCCCTCTCTGCTGTGAGCTCAGTCTTTTCTGAACAAGCAGTACTCTCGCAAAACCGTCCTCCCAGCGGAGCCGCCGCGTTCTCCAGGGTCTCTGTGGCCTTCCTCCCACCACTTCTCACACTGCGCACCATTCAGCATCTCACCATTCGACTGTCCGTTTGCACCATCGGTCTGGCGTCGTCCTCGCCACGTGCTTTTCCCAGCGCCACTCTGTAGGTAAGGACGTGTCCACCCAAGATTGCACGCCAAGTCTTTGAGCTGCGTCGCGTGCAGCATGAGTGGCGCGAATGATCCAAGGGATCCATTCTTCTTGAGGCTGGCGTCTGCTGCCGACGAGCCTTTGCAGCATGTCATTTTGAGCTGATTGCAGCCGTCGTTTCTCCTCCTCGGCCGGCAGCCACGATTCGCAACACCAGAGCACACACTTTGAAACGCAAGTGTCGAACAAAGGCAAACGCTTGCGCAGCAGACCGTGCTGCGGGTCCAGAAGCGGCCACATCTGCTGAATTGTCGCCCATCCGAATGTGATGCGCGCAGAAATCTCCTTGCACGCCCGGCCAGACAAAGTGAATTGCGTGCCCAAAATTGGAGCCGCTTGTAGCCGATACTATTGGGAATTGCTGCCCTTGTATTTCACGGTGTCTCTGAGTACTGGCGCCATGGTGCTGTATGGAGCACTTGTCCACATTCAGAGGCAAGCCTCTCTTTTCAAGCTCGTCAATCGCATCTCCGATCATCTGCTGCAGCGCGTCGGAGAGCGCAACCAGAGTCGTGACATCTGCAAACATAATGTGGCTCAGCCTTCGGCTTCCGTCCTCCTGCGAGCCAACGAGTGTCCCTAGTCTCGTCCTCCCAAACTTCGCACAGCTGTTGGAACACGATCCTTGTGGAATTGTTAAATGGCAGCGGCGGTACCGGGTCACCCTGCCGAACTCCACGCTGAATATCAAACTTTGCACTCATCGTAGGACCGTCTAATTGCACGTGCGCCCTGAGATTGCAATGCAATCGCCAGATCACCCCACCCGTAGTTGGATCTGTCCCCGCCTCCTCCAGCGCCTCGAACACGGCGCGGTGCAACACTTTGTCAAAAGTCTTACTCCAAGTCCAGGGAGGCCATCCAATCTTCCTCCCCCCACTCATCGGCCTTCTCTGCCACTGCCAGGAGAACGTGCACAACTTGTAGATAGATCTGAATACGTCCTGTTCTGGCGAACGTTTCGCCTCCAAACGTGACTTGTTTCTGGCTACCAGCAATGAAGAAACAGCCTTGTACATCACTGGTACAATGCTGATGTGTCTGCATTTCTGGGGGATCATCGCGTCGCCCTTCTTGCATAGGACGATGATTTTTCTGGTCAGCAACCCTTTTGGTATTGCGTCTTTCTCCGAAGGAATTGTGTAACAGGTCTGCCATCCTTTCCAATAGTTTCTGGTGCCCAGTTTGCAACATCTCTGCAACCACCTCGTCTGCGGCGCAAGTTTTACCTTCCTTCATGCGTTTGAGAATCGCTGCTAGCTGCTGCGCAGTGATCGGCGCAACACCGTTTCCAGCACCGCTGCTGTCCGACATGGGCTCTTCGAGTTCCCCTGCGTACAAGTTGGTGTAAAACTCCTTGAAAAAATCGGCAACTTCTTCTGGCTTCGAATGGATTGCGCCGTCGGCCCCCGTCGCAGACAGAATATCTTACGGGCTTCGCCCTCTGCCGCCGGCCCCCGTATTGCTAGTGCGGGCTGCTGCGCTGGGGTCTCCTTGGGGCCCCTTGGGGGTCACTTTGGGGCTCTTGGGGGCCTCTTGGGGGTCTCCTTGGGACCTCTTGGGGACCTCCTCGGGGCCTTTTAGAAACAATATTTTGGTTTTCTTGGAGGTCTCCTTGAGGCCTCTTGGGGGCCTCTTGGGGCCTCTGGGGACCTCCCTGGGGCCTCCTGGGGCCCTCTCGGGGCGGAAAGGTAGAGTTTTCTGTTCGTAGTCCCCCTCTTTGGCCTCTCTTGGGAATGTCTTCGGGCCGTTTTGGGCCGTCTGGGGTGCCTCTTACACCGTCTTGGAACCCTCTTCGGCCGTTTTGGGGCCTCCTTGGGGGCATCTTGGGCCGTCGTGAGGGCTTCTAGGGCCGTCGTGGGGCGATTTTGGGAACCTCTTGGTCCGTCTCGGAGCGTCGGAAAGCCGAAAAGGCGGGTAGGCCAAAAACCTTCAAAAACGCTTGAAAAGTCGTTGAGTTTTGCTTCGCGGGGCCCTCTTGGGAGGCCTCTTGGAGGCCTCGTGGGCCGTCTTGGGAGCATCTTGGGCTGTCTCGGGGCCATCGTGGGACATCGTGGGGTCATCTTAGGCCCTCTTGGCCTCCTGAGGCTTTCTTCGGAGCCTCGTCGGACAGTCTGGAAGGCCTCTTGGGCCGTTCTGACCGCGCGGTGGCGTCAGCATGAGAATCCTGGGGTGGCCCGGAGCAGCCTGGATTTGAGCTTCACTTCCCCTGGTTGGCTGTTTGGTGGCGCGGCGGGGCCCCTCGTCAGATAGTAAACAGGAGGCAGGAAACAGGACTGGAGATACAAAAAGCCAAACAACACATGACAACACATAACACATGACAGCAGACCGCACACAGCTTTGCAGCCTTGCGCCCCCGGAGGGAGCCGGCGGATTGTTCCGTTTAGTCGGACCTGCCAGAATCTCGCCGAATCCGCTCCAGTGGCTGATCTAATGTCGCCTCTCTTCTGCCATCGCGCACGGCAGAAAAAGGCAATTCCTGCTATATTTAGATGCCATCGCGCATGGCAGAAAAGGCAACTCCTGATTTGCTTGGATACGAGCTCGCGTTGCTCAGGCGTCTGACTTCTTCCACCTGGCTCAGTCCGACTGCGGAGCTCAGTTTCCTTTCTTCCGCCCTGCTGCCCGGAAGGGCGCTGCTCCCCTTAAGTCGGGCCTGTCCCTCTACAGGGAGAATCTTCAAACAAGTAAAACAATAGTCTGGGGACTATTTTTGGAGTCTTTATATTTACCATTTGGGATTATTTGTTTGGAATATTTTTAATGTTTCGTTGAAAATCCTCCTGTACGGGGACAGGCCCGACTTCATGCTCCCCCTTGGTGGTCTCGAGGGCCGCTTCTCACGGTCGTTCCCTCCCATTCTTGCTGCGTTGTTTGTTCGATTCCTCTCCCTTTGACGCCGTTTCGCCTCGCCACGAGCTCTGGCGCACAGGCATCTGTCACACATGTAAACGTTTCTGAGCGCCGGCAGCATGATCTTGCCGCACAGCACGTAGTCGATCTGCCCTCTCTCCCCCGTTCCCCACCTTTGGTGCGTCCACCTCCTGTCGTCGCGGTTCTGCCTGTGCGTGTTGGAAGCCACCAGACGATTCGCATGTAACCACCCTGCAAACAATTCCCTTCTCTCTTATCCCTCTCTCAACTCCCATTTGCCCATTACTTTGGGGTCGTCCCATTCGTCCTGCGCACCAAGAGCCGAATTCGAATCCACCCCAACAAATGCAGATCTACGATGTGTGCGGCCTGCTCTCACAAACATTCGAAATACATATCCTTACCGTCAATGCCATGTAGACAAAGTGACGATATGAACCAGCAGCTTTTCCCATGCATCTGGACGTCGAGAAATGTGGCGCGACCGTTCGGAGAGGGGACTCGTGGCTCACCTCCCGCCCACCTGCCGTGAAACAACATTGGATTCCTTGTGTAGCAGTTTGTCGCAGCGGCATTGTTGAGCAGATGTCTTATTTCTAATGTGTTCACTCTATTTTCTGTCAGTCTTGGTCCCTCCTGTAGCAGCACTACATCCCTTTGAGCACATTCCATTCGCAACATCGGCAACACATGCTCGATGGCCTCTGCCCCCATTCCGCACGCATTCCGAGACAATACTGTGATGGCTCTACCTTAGCCGCCCTCTTGTCCCCCCACCTATTCACATTCCCGAACGTTTGCAGGACTGACGCTTACATACACCAGTGTTGCCACCAAGGCCGCAAGACGTGATCGTTACAATTTTAGTTTTGAGTGTTGCTATTGTGCTTGTCATGGTGCCAGGGGCGTTTGCTGCCAGACCCTCATTGCGGAACGATTCCTCGAACTGTGCCGTGCCATTGGGGTGCGGTACCCAGGAGTTCTATGTTTGAAGAGGCATTGTTTGGGTTATGTGTCTTGTTTCCGTGTTGTTTTTGAAGAGTTCTTCCCACATTAGTTGAGTCTTGTGTCCGTATTGTTTTTGCAGAGGTTCTCTTTGAGCTGTTTGGTCTACGCCAAGCAATGCCAAGCAAAGGGAAGCAAAGCCAAGCACAAACAAGTAATGACAAGCAATGCCGAGCACCGCCAAGCAACGTCAAGCAATGCCAAGCAACGCAATGTCAAGAACGGCAACGCAATGCCAAGCAACGCCAAACAAGGCTGAGCAAGCCAATGCAATGCCAAGCCATACCAAGCAATTCCAAGTCAATCACTGCCAAGCAGTGCCCCGCTCAGATAGCGTTCCCCTAATTGGGATCGCGCGTTGTTGTTATTCCTTTCTTGTTCGCGGCGCCACGAGGTGATGGCCTACGTTACCGCCCAGACGGCGCCCGAGCGCCTGTTCCGGGACCTGCGCGGCTGCTGCCGCGACGTGTTGGCCGTGCTGCGCGGCGGCGCTGGCTTCGAGCGGCTCCTCGGCCCGCTGTTGCTGCTGGCGGCCCTGGACACGGGCTGCGGCGGCCTTCGGGGGGCACTAACCATACATTTGCACTGATCCTGGCTTGTTACTTGACCTTGGGGTCAGTTCCAAAAATCGTAACGTCGGAGGACTGGGCAGTGATGGCACCCACACTGATTCTGGCCAGCCCGATCCCGGGCCCAAGATCGGTACATGGATGCCTTCCGACTGCGCGTGCACCGAGCCAGGGCCCAGCACGAGCCCGGGGTCCCGGGATCGGTGTGTTGGTGTGCGGTGGGCTCCCACTTGGCATCGCTCGGACGTGTGCATTTTTCCCTCGGCGAGGGCCATCGAGGAGCATCCTTGATCATTTTGAGAAAAAACCGCGCACGAAACCGAAAAAAAACACAGGGAATGGACGCCCGAGCGATGGCCAGCCCAGGCCTGCAGCGGCAGGACTTCGAGGGGGGCCTGCGGCACGTGCTGGACCTGGTGGACGCCAGGCTCCAGCAGGACGGGGAGTGCGACGACGCCTCCACCACGGGCGAGGGAGATCGGACGGAAGAAGCACCCATCGACTCCTCTTCCGCCTCCTTCTGCTCCTCCTCCTCCTCCTTCCTCCTGACGCTGCTCCTCAGACGAATCCTTTTTGGCGGAAGCTGTCACGTTCCCCTGGGAATTCAGATCTGAGTAGCTCTGATCCGAGGCTCGCACCCAGTGCGTCCCAGGCCCCTTGAGCGCCTTCTGGTTCGCCTCTTCTTTGGCATGGATTGAACGTTTTTTCCTGGTCTCGAAAAGGACCATCGAGGAGTATTTTTTCACCTTGCGAGGAAAAAGAAAAACGCACCGAACGGACGTCCTGGGCGATGGCGAGCTTCGCCCAGGCAGATGACGCCTACCCCAGTTGTGGTTGCAGCATTGTGCGTGTGTGCGAGAGTTCCTGCAGGATCAACCCTTCCGGGTGGAGCGACTCAGTGTGCTCGAAATGCGGCCATTGGGGGTACGATAACTTCGGCAGCTTGTGATGCTCCACGTGTCGTGGGCCGTACCCTGGCCACGACCGTGGGTGTGACGGCGCAGGTACGGATACGGTACAGCAGTTGCCGTCCCTTGGTCGTTTCCGCCCTGCCATGGGCACCTTGGAGGCGGCCAGCATTCAGGCCACGGCAGCGGCGGTCGCTGTCATGCCCGACCCTGCGACGTCCAAAGGTTTGAAGAAGAAGAAGGCCCGTCAGGCAGAGATATCGGAAGACACTGAACATGCCACTCGTGGCGAATTGGTGGCTCAAGCTGAAGTGTTGGCCCGTCTGGCATCAGTTATCAAGCGTCGCGACGTCCTGATCAGGGCAAGTTGGCGCGGTCCACGATTTGGAGCAAGCCTAGGCAGTTTCACGCATTGCGTGCGAGGCCAAGCATGGCTTCGACGCCGCCCATTACTGCCCAGAGCCACGGATTCAAGACCAGCGGCTGCTTCGAGAGGCAATGGCAGCCGCGGATGGGCAGCGTATGGCTGGCGGTTTCGGCACGAAGTTTGGGCACATTGGCAGTGTTCATTGCCCAGCTGTTCCATCCTCTGCTGCAGTGACACGTGGTCAGCCTCAGCATGTGCATGCTCATGCTGCTGCTGCTGCTGGCGCTGGCCGTCAGCAGCAGGCTCCGCATTCCACGCCAAACTCCGGTGCCAGGGACGTTCCGCGCTGCAGGAGTGGCGTGGTTCTCTTGGCCAGGATTTCGAGTGATGACAAGCAGTCCGTCAATGCCAAGGTATTCACCATGATGGTACAACGGGCGACTAGGCGGGCTTAAGTCCGAGCTTGGCGAAAATCATGGGCAGGGGCTGGAAAATCTTAAGAAGCGAGCGGCCGACGACGTTGCTGTGGAACCAGGGGCGGGATCGCTGCGAGCAGCTGCTGGCGAAGACGGCCTCTCAGAAGGCCGCGAAGCGAGACGGCGCCCCGCGAGGCGGCGCAGCTGCAACGTTCGCCCGCATGGCCACCAGGTCCAGGCCACGCCAGCACAGTTCATGTTCGCCGCCGCCCCCGTAGCGGCCTCCAATGCGGCGGCCTGTGGGCCCCATTCAGAAGCGGATGCGTCTGGGCGCTGCATCGACAGCTTTCGTTTCTGAAGAGTTGCATCTTCATGCTTGCCTGCCCAGGGCGCGAGGCCTGTTTTTCTGTTCATTCACATAACAAAGAAGCGCAAAATGAGCGGCGGGCGCAAGCGAGCCAAAGAGCTCGCCATCAGGAAAAGCGGCGCCGCCAATCGCAGACAGCCCTTCCTTGCCTGCCCTGGAGGTAAGTGGGGGGGGGCATGGAGGTGTCGGACCGTGGTCTCCCGTGGGCTGCGTTTTCTGCGCTCCTCGTCTCCGACCGGTCCATGGCGGACATCGGGGTGGGAAGGTGCTGCGTGTTTTTTTGTTTTCATGGGGTAGAGCTCAGGCAGGCCGTCCTTGCTGCAGGTGTTCTGTTCTTCGTTTCGGTCCTGGGTGTCTGGTGCAATTCTAGATCGCACGAGCGACGTCTCGAAGTTCGCGGGCGCGCGCCATGCCGTGGCCCTACATCAGGTTTATGTATGTTTGATGTTCTTTCTTTTTTGTTTTTTTGTTGGAGTGGTATTGGTGGGTTCGAGGTCGGCCATGGCTCGCGACGCCCCCCCCCCCGCCGGGGTCGAATTCGCGCGCTCGCAAGGGCGAGGACCTCTGATCAATTGTGCAGTGGTGTCCGATGACACTGATGGCCATGTTGGACTCGAGAGCTACGATCCATCCCAACGTAAAACGCAAGCCTGTCGGTCGGCTTCGCTGGCTGGCTGCCTCCTCCCAAAACATTGGTCTGAGAGCAAGGTCTATTGACCTGGGGCCAAGTGGCGGCGGGTGAGGTCTGGTTCTGAGACATGAACGGGTCGGGGGGGGTGGCTGAGCGTCCTGAGGACTGGAGGTTCAGCAGGGGTGGGTTCGTCCGCAGGGGCAGTGCAGGCCCATGCGGCGCAGCGCGATTTGGAACCTCCCGCGGCGCTGCAGGTTTGCCTCCGATGCGTGCTTTGATCCAGTTGGCCCGTGCCGCGATTGGGGTCTGCTGATTCTATTGCGAATGCCCCATTGTTGTCAGAGGCTCCCGCAATGCCCCCTCCGATGCCTTCGCGCCCAAGCGCGTTTAATCTCTGGACCGAGTGCTCGCGCAGTCGGGCAAGCACGCGGAGGATCCCAATGCGATCTGGATCAAGGGACAGCTGCCCAAGCCGAACAGTGTGCTGAACAGTGTAAATGCGAGGCAGCCGGTCGCCTGGCTGACTGGGCTGCGGAGGGGCTGAGGGCAGTGAGGAGGCTGCGGCTCGGGCCCTGCGAGGTCGCCCGCTTGCCATTCAGCGCGTGTTTGTTTCCTCCGAGCGCGAGCGATGTGCGCATTGGCCTCGACGCGCTCTGGTGCGCCCGGCAAACTCGTCCGAGCCCATTTGGAGGTTGTGCGCTTCTGACCACAGCCATGTGCTGACGATGGCTGTTTGCGTGCTGATATTTGCGCAACAAGTTTTATTGTCAAGACAAGTTGACCGATGTCTGGCCATCCCAGGCTTGCGCTCGTAGTTCGACAGCGCGCGCAGGCCTTCCCCACCAGCGGTGCGGGAGGGCCGCGGGCGGGATTTGATGAGACGACCCGACGACATCGGGCCATCGGGGATTTGTGGACCTGTGTCGGACCACCCCGTCGCCGAATGTGGCTGCCCCTCGCACCGTCTGGCCACGCCGAAGGGTTTTTCGCATTGTCGGGTGCGCGGGCAGGGCTGCGGCACTGCCCCACCTACAGCGCCTGCGGGCCGGGTGTGCTGCGGCCCCGAAGGCTGGGTGCGATGTGACGGCTCGCATCCACGAGGGGGTTGCCCATCAAGTTGCGCACCCGATCCCGGATGATGCTTAGCTTAGCAGCTGGAGCCCATTGTGAAATTCTCACTGGTCTGGAATGGATTGCTCTTCTTTTCCTCCTCCCCCGCATCCCGCCTCTGCCTTTCCCTCGGCCCGCCTCCCTTGCGCCAATGTACCTTCCGCGTATTCGCCCCGCTGAGGCCTCCCACTGCGTGGAAAGCTCTGCCCTCGTCGATAGGGTTCGCTTCGGAGGCTGGGTCAGAGCACGCGCCTGGGTAGAGGCCCACAAGGGGGGCAGCGGCATCGATGGCGGCACGAACAAGCGATTAGCGCGAGGGGCGGCGTTGAAGCAGGCGGGGGGGCAAACGAGAAGGTGCAAAGGGCCTGTTGGGACACCTCCAAGAGGCTCAGAAGACGGTCCCTGCCTTTGGGGACTGGCCGCCTCAGCAGAAGGCCGTTCTTCTCGCACCGCCACATCATGCGCGCCGCCAGTGCAGTTTTTGCAGCTGTTCCCCAGGAGAGGTTGTGTCCGAGGACCCCGGCGCCCAGCGTGCGGTGGAGAGGTTCTTCGAAGCCAACGAGCTCTTCCGCGGCGTCGCCTGCCGCGAGCAGCCGAGGGTCGCGGCTGCGTACGCGGAGCTTGGTGAGCGACGCAGGGAAGTGTGCGCGGCACTCCGGGACAGCCTGTCGGAGGAGGAGAGCCCACAGAAGGCTGGCGGCGCGCGCAAAAGGGTGTGGGCCGCGAGGGGAGCAGCCTTCAGAGAATGCGGGGCGAGGGGTCTTCTGCGAAGGCTGGGGATTCTTCGGTTTGTCGGAATCCGCCTTGGCTTCTGAGAAGCCGTGTCAGACGCCTCCAGGCGTTGTTGTTTATTAAAAACATGTCTTCTTTTCCGCTCGTCGAAAACATGTCCCATTCCTCGGGCCCACCCCTTTTCCGCGCGTCACCAGAAAGGATGCCCTGGTCTACAACCACCTCGATAACGACCTTTGCTTCAAGTCGAGCACCGCGTCCTCTGTGCCCGCGAGAGATCGCCGCGGGAGAAGCAAGCAGGGCCGCTACACCACCGCTGCGCTCCAGCGCGCGCTGGCGGGCTACTGCGCCGCCACACGCGCGGTGGATCGAGAGGTGCAGGCGATCCTGCGCGAACTCTGCGAGGATCGGCGAATAATAAAAGTTCGACAACCGCAGTTTCTCCGAGCTCAGCGCGGTTTTTTTGGGATCGGAGCCTGGGCCCCACCCCGTGGCGCGCGGAACGCGCCAGGGGCGGCGCCAGCAGCGCCTCCAGGGGGGTCTCAAGCGCCGATCCAAGAGATCCGCGCTGAGCTCCGAAAGTTTCCGTATACGTAGCGTTTCTGTTTTCCCCATGCAGCCAAGACGCTGAAGTAAGGAACACGTTGGGCTCGGACGGGGCTCGACGTGCCTTGGGCCACGGGCCCGTCACACGGCTGCTGCTCCAGCGCTCCTCGTTCACGCAGGCGCGCATGGGGCCAGAAGAGGAACTTCGTTCCTCATCGATCGTTCCTGATGTCAGCAGCCCGACAGCAGAGGAGGTGGCCCCGCACCTGCCGCACGTTCGGGTCGCGATCTCGGCGGCGCAGCTGCTCGTGGCCTCCCACCAGCACGCCTCGCAGGCAATGGGTCGCGGCTGGTCCCTGCTGGACGCTGTTGAGGGGGACTTCCGGGCGGAGGTGGCGCCCTACTGGCTGCAGACAGAGGCAGGGCTGCCCACAACCCGGCTCGGCACGATTCGACTCGTCCTGCATGCCGTCCCGGTTCGATTCGATTCGCTTCGATTCCCCGGCATCGGCCAGGGCCGGTCGGAGCCGGGCGCGTCGCTTCGATGTCGGTCCGATCTGGGGCGATTCTGGGCGGTCCGACTACGATCCGATCCGATGCCGCGGTCCGACGGTGCGATTCGATGTCGCTCACGCCTGCAGAGGCCGTGCACTCCCGCGTGCGCCTTGACGGGCGGGGCGCCATCGCGACCGGCCCCAACATGTCGGGCAAGAGCACCCTCATGCGCTCCATCGGCGCTCCACCGTCAGAACACGTTCCCAGCCGCCGCTGCGGAGTCGGTGCACAGTCAAGACGCTAAACTCAGGAACCGTTGGGGTTCGGAACGGGCTCGATGATCCTCAGGTTCCTCCAGTGCTGTTCCTCTTGCCCTCCTGGGGCACGGGAGGCGCTGACAGGGCCAAGGAGGGGCTTCGTTCCTTATTTATATAGCGTTCCTTCTGTCAGCGGCCCGACGGTATGTGGGCACGTGCCCGCCCGGGTCGGCGGGCAGGTATCCACAGCCACCGCTCCCCGAGTCCCTGGGACACGTCCCCGCGGCAGAGGGCATGTCACGAGGGGGAAACACACACGGACACAATGAATCGTCGATTCCCCCGAAGAAGTGGGGAAATATGGGAACTGGGGGGCAGACGAACGTGCCAAACGATCATGTAGGAAAGCATGGGGAGTCCTGGGAGTTGTGCTCACTTGGCTGCCGTGTCCCAGGGCCCCCCCTGCGGTGTGGGCGCACTCCTTGCGGCGCAGGCGCGGCGGCGCTCCTGGTGAACTGCGGCCTCTTCAGCCCGTGCCGCGGCGCCGTGCCGCGCTACCGGCAGATCTGCTTCCTGGTGGCGGAGGGAGACAGGCCCGCCGAGGGCGTCAGCGCCTTCGGGCAGGAGCGCCGAGTCCCAGGGGCCCTTCAACCTCGCAGGGCCCCTTCAATCTCGCAGGGCCCCTTTTCTTTGTGTGTATTCATTGGTGTGTCCCAGGGCCCCTTCAGTCTCGCAGGCGAGTGTCCCCAGGCCCGCGACTTTTCTCAGGCGATCGCAAACATGGATCAAAGGGGGCGTGGATTGGCGACGGGTCCCGTTGCCGTGGGAAATCGCGGAGCTCCGCCGCCGAGCGAGGCGGCACCGGCCGCATGTTGGGGAGGGCACCTGCCCCGATCCATGGATTTGGCGACGCGCGCCAAACACATGGATCGCTAATCCAGGTTTGGGCGCCCCCGATCGAGGAAGAACAGTCAACATCCGGTAGCAAATCATGGGAGCCTTGCGTGCCCTCGTAATATCTTGTTCTTAGCGTCGATTTGGGTCTGGGAGTCGGTGAGAGTGCTCCGTTCTGGCGTCGGTGAGCGCCAATGCAGCGTCGAGTTGGCGTCGCCTAGCGTCGATTAGCGTCGATTCGCAAGAGCCGACAAGATGGTATGGGAGGCTCCCATGAGTTGCCACCGAAGTCAACGGAAGCATGAACTTGAGGGGCTCAGTGCGGATTTTTTGGACGACAGTCAACATACGCATCGGTCGTTGAAAGTAGTTCATTCTTTGGATTCCCAGATTCCAGTCTACTTTGGCGCCTTCCTGCTGCAATGATCAAGTGGCTTCACCGTTTCCGTCCTCTTCAAGGGGTGTGCGGAAGCCCAATCTATCTTCACTGTTTTTCTATGCCATGTCTCCACGTTCCCAGCTCTACTTCTGCCGACCAAGCATCAACTTTACGAGCTCAGCGCGGATTTCTTGGACGACCTGCGCCGCCACAGGACCCCCTGGCGGCGCCGATCCACGACATCCGCGCAGAGCTCCGACAGTTGATTTCGATGCCGTTTTCTTTTTTCTCTGAAGCCAGCCACGCGCAGAGGGGGGGGCCGGGGGAGGGGGAAAGGGCTTCTCAGAAGGCGCGGGCCTCGTCTGTAGATGTGTAGGGCCGGCGCCTTCTGAGAAGCAGCCTCCTTTCTAAGAGGCCTTTCACCCCTCCCTTTACCGGACGGGGCCAGGACGAGGATAAATCCGTTCCAGACCGTTCCGAAACGCTTGCAAAGCGTTCCGGAGCGCTTCGAGGAGGCCGGGGCCGCGGCGCCCGAGACATCATCTAGAGCCGCCCGATCTCCGAGATCCTCGATGTATCCACACCCAGATCTAGCCTCGTCCTGGCCAGAGCTTGCCCTTCCCCCCTGTGCGCCCCGCCACTGTACTGAGGAGGCGCTGATCGGTGCCTCCCTCCTGCGGCGCGCCTGCGGCGGCACCCTGGCCCTGGTGGACGAGTTCGGCCGGGGGACGGAGCCCGCATCGGCCCAGGCCGCGGTGGCGCGGGGCCTCGGCGGGCAGCTGCACCCTCGCGCGGGCCCCGGCCGTGCCCGTCCTGGGCCCCGGGATCGGCCCCAGAAAAGATGGGCAGATATGGGGAATCTTTTGATCTGGGGAAATATGGGAAAACATAAGAAAATATTGGACAATATCGGAAAATATTGGAACATATGGGAAGATATGGGAAGATATGGGGAATCTTTTTTATTTGTGTGTATTTCTTTGTGTGCCCCAGGGCCCCTTCAACCTCGCAGGCGAGTCTTCTCCCCCAGGCCCGCGACTTCTCTCCGGCGATCGCAGACATGGATCCAGGGGGCGTGGATTGGCGACGGGCCCCCTTTCCATGGGAAATCGCGGATTTCCGCCGCCGAGCGAGGCGGCACCGGCCGCATGTTGGGGAAGGCACCTCCCCCGATCCATGGATTTGGCGACCGCGCGCCAAATATATGGATCGCTAATCCAGGTGTGGGCGCCCCCGATGTTCTCGAAGAAGACAAGGCGCCATGAGCGTAATTTGTGTTGGCGCTCCGCGCGGGTTCTTTGCGTCGGCGCTGGGCCCCCCGGCGGCGGCGCCTCCTGCACCGCCCCTGGCGCGCCCCACGCGCCAGGCAGGGGGATCCAGCGTAGTTCCAAGAAGTACGCGCGGAGCGCCAAAAGTTTGTGTCTATGTGGTCTCTTCTTCGATATTCGACAAAAGCCGCTCAGAAACGGAGGGAGACTCTGGGATAGACCTGGAGGTGGCCATTCGGACGCACCCCTTGTCGAGTTTGGGCCCATAATTCCTGGTCCACTCGAACACCCCACGAAGCCTGGGACGGGGGTCGACACATCCCTTGTTAACATGCTCGCCTCGTGGATAACATGACGACGGAGGGTATGCGGTCGTTTCTGGCCTCTGGGGGCCCTCGCCGGGTCCCGGTACCGTGCTGGGCAAGAACCTCCGGTGGGGACACGTCATGAGAAAAGCACGATGTTTGAATCGGGCTTCTCCCTCTACAGCAAGAATAGTCGGAACGGTTTCAAAAATAGTCAGGGGACGATGTTTTCACAATATTTTGAATGTGTTTTATTTTTGTTGCGATTTTTTATTTTTCGCCCAAGCTCCGCCTGTAGGAGGACATGCCCGACCTAGCACGACGTCTGGGGTCTGGCTGTATGCCTCCCCGGCTGGGCTGGGAAGACCTGGTGCACCGATGCTGGCCCGAGGATGGGCCTGGCCAGGGCCGGTTGTGAAGGTGTGGCTGGCCTCGCGTCTTTCTTAGGTGGGGGCGCTTGTGGAGGACCGGATCGGCCGAAATGGGGGAATGGGGACCCAGGCCTCCTAGATTCGGGAGCGGAAAAGAGGGGGGTGATGACTAGGGGGGGTGGATATCATGGCGGGGGCCATGATATTTCCCCAGATTTCATGGCGCCCCTTCTTATTTCATTACGTTCCAGGCCCCCCCGCTGGGCCGCGCACATGCCGCCGGTCATGATTTGCACCCCCCCCTCTTGGACACCCCCCTCTTGGCCGCTCCCGATAGATGGGGTCGGAGTAGCTGGGGTCGGAGGATCGTGCCGCATCGCCGATGCATCGCCGACGTGGTTCCATGCGGAGACCGATTTGCTTCACGTCGACGTCGCCGATGCACCGCCGACGTCGACGATACGTCGCTGGTGCATCCCCGATGCATCCCCGATGCATCGCCGATGCGTCGTCGATGTATCGGCGATGCGGCGCCACCTTCCGACCCCATCTACTCGGACCCCATCTAGGAGGCCTCTACAGAAGGGGCAGACACCAGAACAGGTGCCAACTATTCTCGCGGTCCGCATGGAAGTGGGTCAGCGGCTAGCATTGGTGTGCCCTCCTGGTGGAGTGAAAGAGCGTCTGGAGATGGATGGTGGTCCCTCTAGTCGCACTCAGGGGGATCGGGGGAGAGGGGGGGAAAACGAATGTGCTGCGTGCATCAGGCGATCGCAAACATGGATCAAGGGGGCGTGGACTAGCGACGGGTCCCCTTTCCGTGGGAAATCGCGGATTTCCGCCGCCGAGCGAGGCGGCACCGGCCGCATGTTGGGGAAGGCACCTCCCCCGATCCATGGATTTGGCGACCGCGCGCCAAATATATGGATCGCTAATCCATGTTTGCGTGCCCCCGAGTGCAGCTGGTTTCGGCGCTTCCCTCGACACAATGGCTTCCTTTGGCTCCCGAAAAAATCAGCTGCGGGAGCCGACTCGCTAAGCCCCCCATTCTTACGTTGCACGTTCGGGGGGCCTTATCTGTGCTGGAGATGGCTGGCATTTCTTGCATCCGACGTTGCATCGACGTGGATTCGACGCGGATTCGGCGCAGATATCCGACGCGGATCGGGGCGCGAGGGGACGATGTAGGGTCCCCCCCAGGGTGCTGCCCAATGTTTGCTGTCCCCCTTTTTTTCCCAAGGCAGGGACTTGTCCACCATCGCCGCCAAGGGAGGGGTCGATCGTCGGGGACCTCGGCATGCAGTGGATCTGGGAGGGGGAGGGGGGGGAGGAGAGGGGGGGGAAGGCAAGCTAGGTGCGCGCGCGTCATATCTGACGTTCTACCCCTCCCTCCCATCCCTTACCATGGCGCTGATTTTCTCTATCCGCGGACTAGTGGGTGGTGGTGCGCGTGCGTGCGTTCGTGTGTGCGTGGTTGTGGTGCTGGTGCTGGTGCTGGTGCTGGTGCTGGTGCTGGTGCTGGTGCTGGTGCTGGTGCTGGTGGTGGTGGTTCTGGTGGTTCTGGTGGTGGTGGTGGTGGTGGTGGTGGTGGTGGTGGTGGTGGTGGTGGTGGTGTGTGTGTGTGTGTGTGTGTGCGTGTGTGCGCGTGTGCTGTGGCATGGCACGGGAAATGACGCCAGCGCTGCAGCGGGAGCACGAGTCGAAACGGGCGGAAGCGCGGGAATGACGCCAGCGCTGCAGCGGGAACCCGATTCGGAACGAGCGGAAGCACGGAAATGAGGCCAGCGCTGCAGCGGGAGCACGATTCGGAACGAGCGGGGCCCGAAAATGATGCCGGCGCCGCGGCGAGAGCAGCATTTTGAAAAATATGCAGGCGAAAACCTAACTCCCGGGAATCCTGTGTGTAAAAAAGCAGGACGCAGGGGGGGGGTCGGCTACTTTCAGGCCGCCATCGGGGCAAGAGGGAGAGTAGTATTCATATTGAGTAATTGTGGAAGGGGGAGGAGGAGGAGGAGGAGGCGGAGGAGGAGGAGGACGAGGATGAGGCGGAGAAGGAGGAGGAGGAGGAGGAGACGGAGGAGGCGGAGGCGGAGGAGGAGGAGGAGGAGGAGGACGAGGATGAGGCGGAGAAGGAGGAGGACGAGGAGAAGGAGGAGGAAGAGGAGGACGAGGAGGAGGAGGAGGCCCTCTGGGGCCCAAAACATATTTTCACATCCGCCGCCCGCTGGGGCCCCAGGACGTCGGCTCCCCGGGCGGTGGATCTGGCTGGATCCCCGTCTCGCACCCCTCGGAGGTGGACAGGACCCCCACCCTGATACGTCGATTGGCGAATTCCGAGCATTTTCTTTGGGTGGCGGGCAAAGGGTGAAATCTGAAATGCCGTTTCGATAGATGTTCGAGGCTTGAATCTGCAGAAGGTGAATCACAAGACGGATTGATTTTCGAGGTGCGAAAGCCTATATGGATTTCACCCTGAGCCCTCTACCGTTCAAAATTCTCAGGAATTGTCATTTGTCGGCTCTTGAGAGGGCGCCGCGGCCGTCATTTTCCACGCTTGCGCCCGCGAGGTTTGGGCCCGGGTTCGTTTTTTTTCGCGAAGCCACACGGTTCACCCAAAAGGGGCTCCCGTCCATCCCCGAAGCCCCTTCCGTCCACCCCGGAGGAGCTGGCGGAGCGGGGGGCGCAGTTCGTGGTCGCCACCCACATGCACGGGGTCACCGACCTGCCACTGCGGCTGCCCGGCGGGTGCCGGCCGGCGTGCTGGCACATGGGCGTGGTCGGCGCGGGCGCCGACGGGGGCGATCCCCGCTGGACCTGGGGGGACAGCAAGATCCAGGCTGAAGTCGGGCACGTCCCTCGACAGGAAGAATATTAAAAAATAGCTTCGCGGCGAAATTTCGATTATTGTTTGACTATTTCGGTGTGGTTCTGGACTATTTCTATTCTTCCGCTCGAAATCCGCCTGTAGGAGGACATGCCCGACCTAAACCCAGGCATGCCCGTGTCGTGAGGAAAGCACTACGGAGGGTTTTGGACCGCTTCTGGCCCGGGGGGCCATCGCCAGGCCGCGGGACAGTAACAAGAACTGATCAGGATGCAAAAGTGGCTCTCGGGAAAGGTTCGTGATTTCCACGGGTTCCGTCTTGGAGAGATCAGGACGTTGGATGTCTGGTGATACTCCAAAATTCTTCCATGCCAGCCGGAAAAAAACGGTCCGGGGCTTGCAAGTCGATTTTCCAGCGCCGCCGACCACATCCCAGTGTTTGGTTTACCCTTATCATCCCCTGCACGTTGTTTCCACCCTGGCCATCTTCTATTGCCATTGGATTTCGCAAGGTATTCTGCATCGTCAGCAATGACAGATTCTGGTCCCCAGTGCACCAGGGATCCTGAGCGTCAAAAACATACCGACCTGCACCTGCTCCCTTTGAACCTTCCACCAAACAGTCTGAAGCCATTTGTGCAATATTCTGAATCAACTCTGGTGAACTCAGTGAGGCTTCCTTTTTGGGGTGGGTGGGTCGACGAAATTCGTCAGTCCAAACAAGCTCCAGAGACATCCAAAGACATTACAAGACTTTCTTTCTTATCGCCCGAGGAGGCGCTTGAGTCGCTGTCATCGGTCGTCTCGGGCTCGCTCTCGCAGATCGTCTCGGGGATTGTCGTCGCTGCTCTTGCCAGTGCCCAAGAATTCAATCTCGTCGGGGATGACGGCGGGCCTCGGTTGCTTTGATTGTTGCCTGGAGGAGCCTTTGATAATGCCTCGATGTAACTGGTCCCAGGAGGTCCTGAGACCCAGCACGAGCCCGTCCATGTGTGTCTGCATCGCGAACCCGCAGCCTCGAGAGGAGGCAAGTTGAAACAGAACGAGGGGCAAGACGAGGAAAGGATGAGGAAGGAGGCGCGTATGGGAGAGGAGGAGCGGAGGGAGACGTAGAAGAAGGAGCCAGAGCGGATGACTGGCGAGAGCCACAACGCCAGCGGGAATGTTGGGTATGCCTGGTTCTTTACAACATCAGTTGGGATTTGAATTCCTGATGGTGAACATGATTGCAGTGCGCTGGGTGATGATGTCGATGATGGCAGTCACTACAGTAAATACGGTTGTGCTGTTTGCTGTCAGTCCTGACCACTCTGTCCATGGTCTGGGCATGCGCTGTTCTGAGTGACAATGCATTTGACTGTGAATGCCCCTGAGCGTAGTGAGTCTGAACATGAGCAAACTGAGCGAGATAAGTTTGAGTGAGGGCGCATCCGAGTGTGAGTGTTCCTGTGTAGGCGTGGTATGAACGTTATAGAGAAAGTAAGGAAATGCATTCGGTGTCAAGGCCCGCTAATTGGGACGAGCCATGTACATCGAACCCGCAGAACTTCACAAGTTTGAAAGTTCAGCGCGTACGAGACACCGGGCCACTGGCTACGAAGCGCAACGATTCATTCATATGATTTCGAAGGAGACTCGCTGAGTACCCACATCCACAGAACTTGACAACCAACATTTGTGTGGTATGAAAGTCTGTCGATTGAGCGAAGTCTCCATGCCATCGGTTTTGACTATGCTGCGCTCACTCTATATTGACACAAGGAGAACAATTTAAACATTCACTTTTAGCAGCGCGTGCTCAAGGTGTTCTACCGTTCTCTATAGTTTCCCAGCGCGGAGCAGATTTCCGCTGGGTTATAGAATCTACACGACGTCTGTCGTTGTCTGTGCGTGTCTGTGATTTGTGTGTGTGTGTGTGGGTTGGTGTCTGTGTTCCTGTGCGGATGCACATCTGTGTGTTCTGTAGATGTTCGCGCTGTGTCTGTGAATGTGTATGTGTTTAACTCGGTTTGTCTGCGGATGATTTTGTTTTGTCGTTGTCTGTCTGTCTGTGTCTGTGTTTGTCTGTGGATGTCTGCGTTTGGTTTCTGTTGTCTGTGATTGTCAGTGTTTGTGTGCGGATGTATGTGTTTGTCGGTGTTTGTCTGTATTTGTATGCGGGTGTCTTCGGTTTGTGGTCGACTTTTGCTTGCAAGCTAAGACATGCCTTAGTCCTCGGGCCCAAGACTAAGACGTGTTTTAGTTTTGGGGTCAAGGCGAAGACAACATTTAGTATTGTCGTATTTTCTGGGCCCAATGCTAATAGTCTCCAGGCCAAGAATCAAGACGTGTTCTAGTTTCGGGCCTACTCAGATTGAGTTACTGTTTTATATTCGGGCTTACAACTGTGTCACTTCTTAGTTTGGGACACGGAGACTAGAAATCCATACATGTCTTAGTTTGGGATCCGAAGCCGACGTGACAATCTAAAAACACGTCTTAGTTGTGAGCTCCGTGTGTCAGCGTTCGGCACCGAAAATTCACACACGTTAGAGTTGCGGCCCAAGGCTTCTGACACAACTAAGGCAGTTCTCAGGAATCGAGCCCCGAACTTAGACATGTCTTGGTTATGTTTTAGTTTCCGTATCCAGACTCGAAGAAGTGGTTCATTTGAAAGAGAAACAAAAACATGCGTGAGTTGTGGGCGCAGAGACTGATTACATCACATCTGCGTTTTCTTGGTTCCGGGAACTGTAGACAAACGTTGGACCTGTGTTAGTGTTGGGCCCGACAATTAAGGCATGTTTTAGTTTTCGGGTTTTGGGCGAAGGCACGTCTTTGTTTTGGGGCTGACAATTGAGACGAACTGAACCGTGCCTTGGGTCTTGTGGCCCGAAACTACAACATGTGTAGATTTCGGGCCCGGCAGTAAAGACATGTGTTCGTTTAGGGTCCTAAAACTACGACGTGTCTCAGTTCTCGGCTTGGCGACTAAGACGTGTCTAAAATTTCGGGTGCCGAGACGTGTCGTAGTTTTCTATCGAAGAACTAAGACGTGTTTTAGATGTGGATCCGCCAACAAAGACATGTACCAGTTTGGGGTCCGACAGCTGAGACACGTCATAGATGTGGGGCCCGACAACTAAAACATGTGTGGGCTCCTGACGCAGGAAACGAAGACAGAGAGCACACCCGGGAAGAACGTCAGACAAACACAGACGAACGGGGCCACACACAGACATATGCAGACGGCTACAGACATCCGCAGACTCTGGCGCCGGAAATTCCGATATGTCCTTTCTTGGGCACAGGACGCTGCGTAATGTTTTTTGGCAGCGAAAACCCATGCATTTCTTTGTTCTTTGTTCGTAGCGGCGGAAGCTCAGACATGCTAGATTTCCTTTTTACCATCAAAACAGCAAATCAACGAACAAACATCAAATCAACAACAACAAACAACAAAACATCAAAACATCAAAACTTTGTTGAACACCCAAAACATCAAATCAACAACAAAAAACGCGGCTTGCGCCCCGTGACTGGGCCATGACTTGGCGCCCCTTAGTTCTGGCACTCCTTCGAGGGGGTGCCAGAACTAAGGGACTTGGTTACTCTTGGGCCCACAGAAGACTACATCGTGTGCTGGGCTTGGACATTCAACACATAACTTCTTCAGGATCCGAACAAATACGGAATGTCTGACTTGTCGGTGCCGAAAACTAGAACACTGATAAGATTGGGATTGCACACGCTAAGACATGTGGCCGGCGCCTACTAGGCTTGGAAACCAACCCTCTTGCTTTTCTAGTCCCAGAGGCCCGCGCTAAGACAATTGATAGGCGTGACATAGTTTTGGCACTCGAAGTGGACGCGTGTCTCCATCTAGGGGGGCAAACCATTACATTCGATCAGCGGTCGCGGCTGGGCCCACAGCACTCAGACATTTTTCCTTTCGAGCCAGCCACGCGCATGAGCGGTTGGGCCCCAAAACTAATGTAATCGCTTCGCTCATCCCGCCGGCCCGTATTTTGCCATCGCAGGCGTTTGCCTGCGCGATCGTGGCTTCCTGGAGCCTCGTGGGGGCCGTTTGGGGGTCTCTTGGCGCTTCTTTTTGGGCCTCTTGAGGGGCTCGTGGGGCATCCAGGGGGCCTGAGCTCTCTTAGGGGCCTCTTGGGGCCTCCTGAGAGCCTCTTGGGGCGGAAGGATCGACTTGGCCGTTCGTGTTCCCCCTCTTGGGCTTTTCTTGAGGCCGTATCAGGGCCCTCTTGGGCGATCTTGGGCGCCTCTTGGGCCCTTTCGGGGCCTTTTTGGATTGTATTGGGGCCCTCTTGTGCCATCTTGGGACCCTCTTGGGCTTTCTTGGGGCTCTCTTGAAGGTCTCTTGGGGCGATATTTGGGGCCTCTTGGGCCGTCTTTGAGCGTCGGAAAGCCGAACAGATGAGAACGTCAAAACCATTCAAAAACCGGAGGGAAATCCGAGTTTTTGCCTCCTGGGGCCCTCTTGAGACGCTTCTTGGGCCATCTTTGGGCGTCTTGGGTGCGTCTGCGGCCGTCTGGAGGCCATCTTGGGCGTCTTGGACCGATCGGTCGGCCACTCGGGGACCGTCTTGGGGACTCTTGGGACTCTCTAGGTGCGCTCTGGGTCGCCTGAAAGCCGCGCCCAGAAGGAAGAACCAGCGCTGGGTCGGACCGCCCAGGGTATTTGTCGTCCGGGGACCCCCAGGAGCCGCCCCGCGCGCGCGAAGCAGAAATATTGTTTACCAGTAGCCGGAGATGTTAGCACGCCGCACGGCTTTGGCCCGTTGGGCCGGCGAATCTGTAAGTTATGTTCTCGGCATGTTTGAATCTGAAGACCATACGTCAACATCTGCGTTGTCGCGCGCTTTGTTTTTTTCCTTAGACTGAAACACGCCTTAATTCTGGGAACCAAACTAGAACGCGCCGACCGTCTGTTCGCGTTCCCGGGTCTCAGAATTAAGGCGCGGCGACCGCACCGATTCTGTTCGGGTTGGGCAACACAAGAGGCGCGCAAGACGCGCGCCTTCGTTTCGGGCGCCAAGGCGCAGGCGCGCCGACCACGCGTCTGGGTTCCGGAAGCCAAAACACGGACACTCCGACCACATGCACTAAAATAATCTCCGCGGGGGGGGGGGAAATGGACAGTTTAATCGGCGGAGTCGCGAGTGCTCGTTCCTGTCGATCCGCGAGCGCTGGAACACAGCGAATCCAATCCTAGACTCGTCGCGTATCACCACCAGCCCATCCAGAATTGATGCGCGGGCAAGATGCCCTGATTGTGACAGCGCGGATGTGTACCAGGACAAAGAGGAGAGATGAAGAGACACTTATGGCCGAACAGAGCGGGCAACATGGGCGAATTGTGTGGTCCTTGGGAAGGGGCAAGAAGCATTGCCGTAGAAGCACCCGCAGGCCCATATTTGGGACCCCCCGAGCGAGCGAGAGGGCATGGGGGAGAAGGAGAGGTCTTCGAGGAGAAGGACGCGCACGAGGACGATGATATCGAGAACAGGATGATGAGAAGGAAGTGGGAGGATGTGAGTGATAGAGCCCCCCCTGGCAGATTCATGGGTTCATCCAGGGGTCCCCTGGTGCCTGCGCGGGGTCACGTCGGGGTTATTTGCTTATCATGGCCCTCGTGGGGTGGGGGAGCGTCGACCTTGGTTCGTTTTCAGACCATGCCGGGATACTTGAGCCGCATGGAAGGATTCTGAGACCCCTGATTGATATTGACACCCCTCTCTTCACCACCTTATCAGGATTATAAATTTAATCATCACCATCATCATCGGCGCTACGATCATCGGCAGCATCGTTAGCGTTCCATCCCCGTCATCGCCACTCCGTGTCGTCATCGCGATCGCCATCGTCCCTCGCCCATCCCCACAGTATTCCCCCCATCAATCATCATCAGCATCATCATTACCATCATCAGCAGCATCATCATCGCCCTCGACCTCGTCACCGCCATCATCATCAGCCATCATCATCATCATCATCATCATCATCATCATCAGCCATCATCATCATCATCATCATCATCATCATCATCATCATCATCTTCAGCATCAGCATTACCATCATCATCATCACCATCATCATAACCATCATCGGCATCCCGTTCGCCATCGCACATAATGGCCACGATCACCATCATCACCATCGTTAGTTATCATCACCGCCCACAGCGCACAGCACTACCACCTAGCAGCAACACAACAGTACCACTACCATCTAGTGTACAACCAGCAACATCAACACCTCTGTCATCGAGACAACTTCGCCCAGTAACGCGAACGACAACGCAGAGCTATGATGCTTGATTGCCCAAGTTACGAACATGAGCAACGACATCCACAGACCTTCGCCGGTATCCGAGACATCCGAAGACATCCGCAGATACACCCGACATCATATCATCGTCCTCATCCTCCGGCCCTTCGGAAAGGGGCGGACCGTGCAGGTGCTTTCGAGATGGGAACGGATCCCGCGAAACCCGAGTAGATGGCACCGATCCCCACCGAGGGGCGTCGTCTGGACAGCAGGGCCAAGGCTTTCCCAGTGCGGTTGGGGACAACCCTAACGATTTTGAGCTAAGGTTAAGTCGGGCCTGTCCCTCTACAGGGGGAATCTTCAAACATAGTCAAAAAATAGTCGGGGGACGATGTTTAGATTTTTTTGTTTTGGCCCATTTGGGGTGTATCTTTGGAGTATTCTTATTTTTTCGTCCAGAATCCCCCTGTAGCAAGCGCCAGGGGTTTGCCGCCCCCAGCGACAGCCCCGAGCCGCCCCCGGCTGGCCGCTACCCGCACGCGGGGTGGCGCGAGGTGGGTGGCCCTCTCAGAGGGCAGGGGCCTTCTCGGAAGGGCCTGGAGCTACAGGGCTGTTCGATGCTCGTTTCGGGGACATTCCTGGAGCCCACCTAGCGGATCTGTTCGACCCCAGTTCGACTCAAGTTCGACTCAAGTTCGACTCAAGTTCGACTCAGGTTCGACTCAGGTTAGACTCAGGGTCGACCCACATCGACTGACGTTCGACGCAGCTTCGACGCACGAGTGGAGCGAGTGGCTCCAGGAAGGTCCCCAGAACGAGCATCCAAGGGCTGACCCCCCCGTCGTGGTGCGGGCACGCCCGTGTGCTCGTCGACCGGCCCAGAGCACGGTTAACCTTGATAGTGAGGATGATCGGCTTCCCAAGAGTTATGATGTTCCAACCTACTTCAGCCTTGACCACCAGGAAGAATTTCGAGCGCGCGGGGTGGCACGAGGTGGGTGGCCCTCTCAGAAGGCAGGGGCCTTCTCTCACCGGGCGCGCTCCATTGCTCGCAAAGTGCCTTTCCGCAAACGTCCGATATGAGCCAATCTTTTTTCCCTACCTAGGCTCTGCCTAGAAGGGTTCTTACTCTGAGGCTTAAAGGGCCGGGCAGTGGGGCACGCCCCGGGCGGTTCCCCCGGCATCCGCCCCGCGGTTGCCCCAGTTGCGCCCCCTGGGTTCACCCAGTTTAGCTTAGCTAAGCTTAGCTTAGCTTAGCCTAGCCTAGCTTAGCTTAGCTGTGCCTAGCCTAACGTGGCTTAGCTTAGCTTAGCTTAGCTTGGCTTGGCTTAGCTTAGCCTAGCTTAGCTGATAGTATCTAATATTAGCTTAGCTTAGATTTGCTTGGCTTAGCTTTAGCTTGGCTCAGCTTAGCCTAGCCTAGCCTAGCTTAGCTCAGCTTAGCTTAGCATAGCTCAGCTTACCTTAGCTTGGCTTGGCGCAGCGCAGCATAGCGCAGCGCAGCATTAGCACAGCATAACATAGCATAGCATAGCCAAGCACAGCATAGCATGCATAGCATAGCTCAGCATAGCAGAGCATGGCACAGCATAGTATAGCATAGCGCAACATAGCATAGTATACTACATCTCTGGTTAGCAACATCTCAGCGCAGCATAGCATAGCATAGCATACCCTAGCCTAGCCTAGCCCAGCATAGCATTGCGCAGCATAGCATAGCATAGCATAGCATAGCAACGCAGAGCAGAGCAGAGCATAGCATAACATAGCATAGCGCAGCACATCATCCACTATTGCTGTTGCTCATGTTGCTTTCCTAGAGCCTCCAACTCCTAGGTAGGATCGCACTGGGATAATCTATGTAATATATCGTAAACTCCCCGCGGCAGATCCAAGCCGTTTGCAAGCAGTTACTTTGCGAGTAGTGGAACGCGCTTGCCCATTCTCAGAAGGGCCTGGAGGTACAGGGCTGACCCACACCCGTGTTCTTGACGAGCAGCCCAGAGCACGGTCAACCCTGATAGTAAGGATGATCGACTTCCCAAGGGTCTCCGCGCATCTTTGCCCCTTCGGTCATCTTCGGTCCATCCTCAGCCGCTTTCTATGACCAGCCCCACTCGAAGAGCCATGGCATGGGCGCCCAAGGCCCTTGCATCCTTACAGCGCATGTTTCCAATACGGGTTGATTGTATGGTAGGTTCGCGCAATGTTGACGCGGTGACGACCCCCCAGCGGACGTTCGAGACTGAACGTTGGCGTGGGATCGGCCGACCTGGGCTAATGATCTTCGAGACTGGACGATCCCTACAATGTCAAATGTTTCACAGCCCAACACCAGTCGTCGCGACACGAACCTGCCGTGCCGATGTCGCTACTCCCCAGACCTCATTTGGGGTGCGTTCCGACGAGGAGTCCCCGGCAAATCCAGCCGTGGTGACGACAGCCGCTTCCCCCCGAGGGTCAAACAAGGGAAGACGAGGGATGGGTATCGGCATCGGTGTCCAGTTGTTTGCGGCCCGCCCCGCCACCTTGCCAGCGCAGCAGAGCAGCAGGAGGGAGCTTGAGTTTGAGATTTGCTCCAGTTCAGCCAGTGCCTTGCCCGAACTAGCGTCTGATCGCAGCCTCTTCGGGATCTCTTGGGGGCCTCCTGGGGGCCTCTTGGGCTCTTGGTGATCTCTTGTGGGCCTCGACGGGCCCCGTTCGTGACATGCCTGAGCCCGTCGTGCGTTTTGGGACCGTCTTGAGTGTGATATATCCACCCGGCCCTCGCGAAGAGCCTCAATTGATCGATTCGGGCGGGGGTATCGGAGGCCCCCAAACGGGGCGGTGACCACACCATGTGGTGAGTCGGTGGGGATTCGGGGTCACCGCACGAATTGGAGGTCACCGCACAGTCTGTCACCGCACCGTTTCGGGACTCCAAAGTAATGGGGGGTGACCTACTGGGGGGGTGCATCAGGCCCTTGAGGGTGCACTTTAGGGCTCCAAAGGGGAAAGTGTCCATTTAGAAGCCCTTTCTCCTCCCCCCCATTCAACCCGCCCGAAGGGGAAGTTTGGGTGGTCCTGGACCGTCTCGGGGAGTTCTCCAGTCGCCCCTAGGCCCGTCTTGGGGCTGTCTTGGGCTTCTGCTGGGCCGTTGGGGGCTCCTTGAGTCTCCCTGGGCGAGCTGAGTCCTAATAGCCTCAGCATCTGCACAACTATTTTGCGCCTCGATGTTCCTATACGCGTTGCCCCTGAGGGCCTCGATGGCTTCCCGATTCGAGGTTGACGCAGCCTGCCCCGAGGACCTACCGCCTCGAGGAGGGCGTCTGCCGCGAGTCCTACGCCTGGCACACGCTGCGCCGCTTCGGCTGGCCGGACGCTGCCGTCCGCAGGCTTCGGGCGTTGCCCCAACGTGTCCCTGGGAGCGTGCTCCCCCCGCTGCCCGCGCGCTCCCTCGCTCCCTCCCTGCCCCCCTCGCTCCCTCCCTCCCTCCCTCCCTCGCTCCCTCCCTCCCTCCCTCCCTCCCTCGCTCCCTCCCTCCTCCCTCCCCCTCCCTCCCTCCTCCCTCCCTCGCTCCCTCCCTCCCCCCTCCCTCGCTCCCTCCCTCCCTCCCTCCCTCCCTCCCTCCCTGCCTCCCTCGCTCCCTCCCTCCCTCCCTCCCTCGCTCCCTCCCTCCCTGCCATGACCAATTCGGCCACGTGCATCCCACGTCCGCCCTTGAACGCGGCGGGGTTTCTCGCTGCTGCGGCAGCAAACAAGGCCTTCACACAGGGCCCAGGGAGCTGCGCGAGATCCCCAGGCACGCTCGTGTCGTGAAGAAACCACGTCGGGAGACGGTTTGCCGCCTCTGGCCCTCAGGGGCCCTCGACAGGCCAACGGACCGTGACAACATTCACCTCGGAATGAGAATGCGGCTCTGGGAGCTCGGGACGTCTGGGGGGGCACCGCACGGTATAGGTGCTCGTCTTGTCGGCTGGCAGTTGTCCCGCCGCGGGGCGTGCCGCGTTTGCCAGCGGCCTGAAAGCCGCCGACAGTCGGTGTGGAACGGTTTGACGTTTCGGAAACGGCCGATCGTTCAGGGTTGAACGATCCCCGCGGTGTCAGAATCCCACGCTGAAGTCGTCACTACTCGAACCTGCCATATCGAAACAAAATTATACATCCATTGTGTGGTCAGCATCTGCGATGCATATGCAGTCGGTTGGTAGCTACCCGGCAAGGAGACCGTTCGCTCATCCCTTCCCGCGGGCTGCAGGGCACACCTCTCGAGGCTCAGTATCGCTCAGCCGCATCTCTATCCCCATCCCCATCCCCATTCCGACCATCCCACCATCTCAGTTGGGGATATGCCCCTTGAAACTCGAAGGGAACAACCTATATCCCCATATAGGGGGGTACATTGGCCAGTGTGGCCTGGCCACGCCAGGGGATTGCATAAACGATGCTCAGAGGTCCAAAGGGTCCCAAGGGCTTTAAAATGATGCGAAAGGCTGGGGACAATGGGGCACAGCCTGGCAGGCCTACTCAGAGGTCCGGCGTCTCGAACGAAAACGAGGCCACTGTTGTTCTTCCATCATCCTGTTACTCTGGAGGCCAGTTTCGCGCCGTCCAAAGCGACTCAGAGTGAAAAGCCCGCCCCAGGGAGGAGGAGGAGGAGGAGGAAGAGGAGGAGGAGGAAATCGAGAGGTCCTCGCAGAGATCGTGCCGCCAGGTCTCTTGGCAGGATGAGGATGAACGCTCTCAGGGCGTTCCGGGATCGCTCTGGAACGGCCGCGGAGCCCGATGCGCCCTCCAGACCCGCCGTCTCTCGGAGATTCCCGAGTTCACGTTCATAACATAGCTCCCCACAACCCGGGAACATGTTTGGGGAATGGGGAGATTCCGTTATGGATCAAATTTGCGGAATGGGGAGATTCCGTTATGACAAGATCAACCCAAGGATCAAACACGTTTTGAACAGATCACGCTTTGATCGAACCCGTTTGAGCGTGTTCGATCAAGGATTTGTTCTGGAGTTTGACCGTCCAGCTTCGGAACGGAAGATTCTACACATCACGGGGGACCGGGTCAGGGGGCCGGGGGCGGCGTCTCGACCGCAAATGCGGGGCCCGAGCGTCCTTTTCCTTGTGTATTTACATATCTTGACTCCCCATGGGGATCTGGGCGGATGCCGGGGAGAATCTGGGGACTCCCCGGGACTCCCCAGGGGGGGTCTGGGCGGGTGCCGGGGAGGAGGCGGGGACTCCCCAGAACACCATTCCCAGGCCACATGTTGAATGCCCGGAGCCAACTGTAGGCCACTTCGTGTTCTTCGTGTTCCCAGAGCACCATTCCTGTACCATATTTTGATTGCCCGGAGCCAACTGTGGGCCACTTCGTGATCTTCGTGTTCCCAGAACACCCGTCCTGTGCCATATTTTGAATGCCCGAGCTGAGACAGGCTGAGGCCGAGGCAGGCTGAGGCCGAGGCAGGCTGAGGCTGAGGCACGCCGAGGCAGGCTGAGGCTGAGGCTGAGGCAGGCTGAGGCCGAGGCAGGCTGAGGCTGAGGCTGACGCAGGCTGAGGCCGAGGCAGGCTGAGGCTGAGGCTGAGGCAGGCTGAGGCTGAGGCAGGCTGAGGCTGAGGCTGAGGCAGGCTGAGGCTGAGGCTGACGCTGAGGCTGAGAGGCTGAGGCTGAGGCTGAGGCCGAGGAGGCTGAGGCTGAGGCTGAGGCTGAGGCAGGCTGAGGCTGAGGCTGAGGCTGAGGCTGAGGCTGAGGCAGGCTGAGGCTGAGGCTGAGGCTGAGGCTGACAGGCTGAGGCTGAGGCTGAGGCTGAGGCTGAGGCTGAGGCTGATGCTGAGGCAGGCTGAGGCTGAGACAGGCTGAGGCTGAGGCTGAGGCAGGCTGAGGCTGAGGCAGGCTGAGGCTGAGGCCGAGGCATGCTCATGCCGAGACAGGCTGAGGCTGAGGCCGAGGATGAGGCCGAAGCTGAGACAAGGTGAGGCTGAATGGGGGGGAGGAGGGGAGGCTGAGGCAGGCTGAGGCCGAGGCAGGCTGGGCTGAGGCCGAGGCAGGCTGAGGCTGAGGCTGAGGCAAGCCGACGCAGGCTGAGGCTGAGGCTGAGGCTGAGGCTGAGGCAGGCTGAGGCTGAGGCAGGCTGAGGCTGAGGCTGACGCAGGCTGAGGCCGAGGCAGGCTGAGGCTGAGGCTGAGGCAGGCTGAGGCTGAGGCCGAGGCAGGCTGAGGCTGAGGCTGAGGCAAGCCGAGGCAGGCTGAGGCTGAGGCTGAAACTGAGGCAGGCTGAGGCATCCGTAGGAATCCATAGGAATCCTTAGGAATCCCTAGGAATCCTTAGGAATCCGTAGGCATCCTTAGGAATCCGTAGGCATAGTTAAGCATCCTCAGGAATCCTTAGGAATCCTCAGGATTCCCTAGGAATCCTTAGGAATCCCTAGGGATCCTTAGGAATCCAGATTCTTAAGGATTCCAATCGATTCCTAAGGATGCCTAAGGATGCCTTAGGAATCCCTAGGAATCTTTAGGATTCCATTGGATCCTAAGGCCGTTGTCACTGCGACTGTCATTGCGAACGCGACTGCGATTGCGAGAACAGCAGAATTCTACAACTGGATTCCCACCTGAATCTTAAGGGGAATGCTTCCAGGTATGCTTATACACATCGCTGTTAGGTTGCTTTGCCGGGATAATTGTCTGTTTTAGAATAAGTTTCGGCGACCCTGGGCCACAAAGAGGCTGCAGGGAGGCCCCAGGAGGCCGCAGCGATGGCTCCAGACGCCTTTCAAGACGACTCCCACTACGCCAAGAAGGCTCCCGAAGACGCCCCAAGAGACACCCCCCAATAAGCAACAATCGTAGATTTCCGATGGGAAAACTGATATTTTTGGCGTGTTCGCCTTTTGGGCTTCCACTGCGTCCAAGACGGCCCAAGGGGCCCCCAAGATTGCTCCACAGGCTCCCAAGAGGGCTCCACGACGACCCCAAGAGGGTCCCAAGACGGCCCGAGAGGCCCCCAAGGCAGCCCAAGAGAGCCCCAGGACGAGCCCCAGAGGGGTCCCAGAGGTGCACAGCCGAGTTTTCGGCCCCAGAGGCTCCCAGGAGGCCCCAAGAGGTCCCCAGGAGGCCCCAAGAGCTCCCCAGGAGGCCCCAAGAGGTCCCCCAGAGGCTCCAAGAGGCCCCCAAGAGTTCCCCACGAGGCTCCCAAGAGGCACCCCGAGAGAGCTCCAAATAAGCAAACATCGTCGATTTCCGATCGGAAAACTTGTGGCGTGTTCGCCTTTTGGGCTTCCACTGCGTCCAAGGCGGCCCAAGAGGCACCCAAGACGGTCGAGGATGCCCCCAAGAGGGCTCCAAGACAGCCCACGAGGGGGCCAAGACGGCCTCCGAGGCGCCCAAACCGCTCAACAATGCCCCAAGCCGGCGCCCAATACGGGAACGAGGAACCGAAAATGCGAGCCATTTGGCCCAAGAGGCCCCCAGGATACCCCAAGAGGCTCCAAGAAGCGCCCAAGAACCCTTCAAGAGGCTCCCAAGAGACCAGCAAAAACACAAAAACAGGCACCAAAACGGCCCCCCCAATAGGTCCCCCAAAACGGCCCAAGAGAGCCCCAGGGCGCGCCCAAGAGGGTCGACCAGAAAGCTGGTCCGATTTTCCACACTCTACACAGGGTCCGTCCCCGGCGGTGCCTCAAGCAGGTGTTGCCACTGGAGTCCTCACTTGCCTAAGAACCTCCAACCATTTATTCGCACAGCGATTCCTGTGCCTGTGACACGCTAGAACCTAAGCGCGCGCGAAGCGTGCCCGTGGTTCATATATCTACATATATATATATATATGTATATGTATACATATAAAAATATATACATATGTATATATATATATGTATATGTGCGTGTGCGTGTG